ACCCAAGTTTATCATCGTCCCGAGGCGTGTGGATGCTGTTGGCGGATGTGTGTGGGTGTGCGTGTTTTGACCCCATGCTTCGGCCGGATCTCTTCCGAACATGGCTCCGGAAGATGGGGCGAATGACGGAGCGGGTGACAAACCAACGTCCACTACTGCACTGCACCAAAATGAGTGCTTTTGGTCTTCAGAACGAATGGAGCCCGAAGAGGAGGCGGTCTGTCTGCCCAACTGCCACCGTTTCATCCCCGATGCTCACCTTTTTTTATATCGAATATTCCGCACCACAACGTGACGCCTCGGTTGAAGCTGCCGTTGCATGGAGCCAAGCCTCAGGTCGCCGAGCAGAAAGGCCCTCCACCCTCGCAACCTGGCCATCCCGTGCTCCCCCGTGTTTTCAGGTGCTAGGTACTTCTAGTACCAAGGATTGTGAAGGGCTCCAAGGGCTCCATCACCGGATGCCGGCCGAGTGGAGAGCTCCCCACATGCCATCTCCAACCCATTTTCCCTCATCTCGACACCGCAGGTGGACTCTGGGCTCCAGTCACTGGACCGGTCTTCCCTGCTGATTCGCTAGGTCCGGTCTTGACGAAACTTCCCCCAAAGGGCCCGGTCCTGGAAGAGCTTGGGAGCCTGGATCATTGAGCCGGGTCCTGGTCGGTCCTGAAAACCGAACTTGCGAGTCGAGTTAACCCAACGTCGTCCTCGTCCCTCATCTTCCGCTGGGGCGGGTGCCGACGGGCTTGGCCCATACAAACCGCTGGAATCACGTAGTGCTGACCCGGAACTCTGCATCGGCCCGGTGGGACAGTATATCACAGTACGGGAATAGTTGCCATGTCCAAAGCAGTGCCACATGACAGGTCTTCCCTCGCCAGCTTTCTCTACTCGCTCGGTACCGGAAATGAAATGGAAGTCGGACCTCAAAAATACATCATAGACGCGCACTCGGTACCGTTGATCATCCTGCGAACCCGGAATCCGGAGAGGACGAGCAATAAAGAGATGGGTTGGATGGTTGTCGGCCTTGAATTCGCTTGACAAGGCGCATCCCGGTGGATTGGGCGCCGTCAAACGCCACGCATTTGTTGGTTCTCTGGCTGCCACCGAGTGCTGCAACTGCTGTTTCCTAGCTCCACGGGTACAAGCTCGATACCTTTCTCGAGGAAAAGCAGTGACCAGAGAGGAAAGGCGGTACGTACCATGGTTCACACCGTCATCACGGAATATCAGGGTCCTGAGATTCCACACAAACTGTCTTTTCAGCGAATTACGGAACACGGCTTGTCCATCAAGGCGTGCACGGTCCTACATATCAGCTGCCCGCTGCTGCGATCACTGCATGCCAATCCCATTTCAAACATGCAACAATTGTCTACGGTGAGATGCGATGCAATGAGGAGTGGGCATGCTTGCAAAGGTCCTTACCCGGCCTTCGTAGCCGGCACCTCTGGCTCGAACGGCCCAGACAATCAAGAAAGGATGCCGTCTTCTTGAACCATCTCGGGCCACTGGCACTGCGGTGCCTATTCTTGTACGCTAGGTACACTACCGAGACTACGGCCATGCTCATGGAAAATGGCACTTCCCGCCCCATCATCTTTTGCTGACTGAACTACGCTAGCGGTTCATCAAGCAAGGAGCATCGGGGACGATCTCTCAAACCCTTGCTCCCAAGCCCACTTGTCGTCCACAGTTCATCTCAGCCCCTCAGCTTCCTCCTGGTCGTCCTCCACCATTTGCGCTAACTGGGACAGGGCCTTGTGCCCGGAGCAACCCCCCTGTAGGGAGCGCGCAACAATTGCGGGCACTTGCGCACAGACTGCGGCAAGACGTAGCGAACGGTTCGACGGTCTTGCTAACCTCCCCCGTTGCGGCCTCCGTGCCCTTGGTATGCATGGCGTAACGGCGGGTGCGGCTTCGACCATCATTGGCGGCTGGCCCATCCACTGGAACCGCTGCCATCACAAGCGCACGACGTCTGATGTGTTGAGATCCGATGCACAAGTACCTGCTGTTGAGAACCGAGTGCTTGTCACTGCACGCCAGTATCCTGCACATACGCAGCACACAATACCTTCTATGCGCTAAATAGACATTACCAGTCGGGATTCAGCAGGTTGAGCCGAATGGTCACGATTCGACGCGCCGATTTGGGTTCGTGATCCGAGACTGACAAACTCCAACGCGGGGCCAAGATGCGGTCCAAGATGCGGTCCAAGATGCGGTACCTATCACACCCGAAAAGAAAGCGGCCAAACGGCAGTGCTCCATAAGCGTCAGTACGTGTAGTGACTCCCTCGGAGCCTCGTCCGGTGTGAGGAAGCAACACCATGATAGGCACATGCTTGCGTTCCTACCAGCATCCACTTTAACGGTCCCAACCCGCTTGCAACTCTAGTACGAGCACGCCTCGGTCGAGAATGGATGACGCCCCAGTTTCCATCCCATTCTCCTGCTTGTGCTCGGGGATAGCAGTTGGGACAAATTCAAGAAATGAGACGAACCCCCTGAAAGAGTGTACCCCCGAGCCACTGTCATTGCGACGACAAGACGCGGGCAGTGACTGAAATCATACTCCAAAGAGCCCTAAAGATACGTTCCGCCATCAGACGATTCGATTGGACCTGACACTCAAAAATCCGACCCAGGACGCGAACAGTCAAGCCAGCGTGAAGCAGAAAAGCTACACCGTGCCTTGATACTCCGAGCAGCCTTAATGGTGGCTCCTGAATACGGCACGGTGCTCTATTGTATTCGCCTTCATTCTTGAATTCTTCCTTTCTCTGTCGTGGTGATGTTCCGTATGGACGGTTGACGATGGAAGCAAGGAAACCGGGGCAACCGGGGGCAAGAAGGGCGGGCCAGGTCCGGGGTCCGTTGTCAGCGCGGCCCCTGGATTCCATGATCAAGATCCCCAAAGCCCACCGAACGGCTATGCGTACAAGACACACAGGGCAAGAAAAAACCTAACTGGTGGAACGTATCTTTGTGGCTTCATATGATGTCCCTGGTCAATTACAGATGCAGGGGGTTCTTGCGAGCGAGCAAAAGCCATGGACGGACTCAAAATACAAACCAGGACAAACAGTCTGGCAGTCACGCAGCACAACGACAACAAGAACAGGGATCCCCAAGTATCCTTCAACGGTAAGGTTACTCCATTGAAACTCCTCCGACACCGTGAGAAATGGCATAAAGTGTTATTGCTGGCATTTCCTAGTGTTTCGGTGCACCAGTTGCGCTGAATACGGGCTGCGCATGTGTCCAACTCCCTGGGTTTCCTCAACAAAAAACTCCCTGGAGCACATCCTCACTTTCATGGGCCCCTTTTCACCACCTTTCCTAGCCAGTTTACCACAGGTACCATCGGCGTTGGTGTCCAGGCCTCTCGGTGGTAGCTGTGGTGATTGGCGCATTCACAAACTGGACAAGGTGGCCACGGGGGATGCGATCGCTTCAACGCAACGCTAGACCACACCGAGTAGCATCACTTCCGCGCTGTATCAAAACCTGTACCCCCTTAAGCCTTTGTACACCTGAAGCTCGCCGTTGCTACGCTACTCAGGCCTGCTCTTGCACCTTCTGTCCTCCTTCCATTCACATTCCGTTACCCATTTCAGAGATTCTTCCGCCCTGCGCGTAACTACTGTTTCAAGTGCCCTGCGTGCACACACTCTCTCTTTTAGCAACCGATCCTACGCAGGTTTTCAGTTGATTTATCTGAGGATCATCGCTCTCAACTAGCAGGCTGGAGAACCTGGACCACACTGTACTGGGGACTACACCGGAATATATATCTGGAAGCACTGGGGGTGGTCTTTAACTACATTGCTGTATACCTGAGGTTTCACTACGGATCAGCTTCCACCTGCGGTTCACACTGCAGAAAACCCCCACATCCCTTATTTCATGCTGAGAGGAGAATGGAAGCATTCAGGGACACGTACGGGATCAGAAGCTCATCCGCGGGTGCTACTTGTAGGGGCCGCCGTATAACCGCTTGCTGGGTTGTAAGAAGGAGACCCGACCCGGGGATCTACTCGTACAGCACAGATCCCGACTCAGACACCGAGGACAGCAACCACCCAAGGCAAGAGCACGAAAAGTCAGCGGAGCGAGCCTTTCAGGTTTGACGAAAGCCAGCCGCAGCATGTTCGCGGATCATAGCGGCGGCGTTGAGGTTGCACGGCGCTGCAACACTGTAAGAACCTGGGCAGGCTTTTCCCAACAGAGACACGGTGGGCGGTGCCTTGAGCGAGATTTGACCTTCAAATCTTGAGACATTGTGTGTAGATGAGTCTTTGGCACTGAGGGCTTGGGCCACAAAAACATAGAGGGCCTGGCGCCCACCCACGCACCTACACTTACGCACCGACACTTTCTGTTCACCAACCCTCTCGCCATGCTAAAGTTGCATGCAGGAACGGCAGCCAAAAGTCACAGAAGGTACCGGCCAGAGGAAGTTCGCGCCGTCTTCTACCAACATCAGTCAACAATCGAACGTCGAGAAAGACATTACCGGACGTCGGTATACATCAAACGAGCCTTCGAACAATAAACAGTGGTGAAAACACCTATACAGGTCGTCTTTGAGCGCTGCTCTTCCAGGGCGTGCCTTGGTGCTTAACCTCTGGGTCGGTATAAGAGAACCTGGCGCGCGGGTTGCAACAATAAGCGTGACCAGGGTGTGGAAAATTGCAAAGTGAAGCGAGGAAAAGAGAAGGAAAAAAACGCAGCGGACTAGCGGCCTCGTGGGAATTGCTGGGGTGCATCCTTTAAACAGGTCCGGCCCCTCCCAAGCGCGAGAAGCTTGAAAAACAAACCCCCGTCCTTGTTCGGTCTCCATCCACCCCAAAACTGACGAGACCGCAAAAGGTCCCGTCTGCATGTTCCTTGACCGGCATCTCCCCAGAGTCCATCCTATTGGGGACCTTGTGGAGACGGTTCCGAATCAGGCTCCTTCTGCCGGAAACTGCCTCCTCTTAAAATCCAGCACCATGGCAGCTGCGTCGTCGCACAACAACAATAACAATCCATCATACCCTCGATCCCCCGTTGACCCGTCCACTGACACTCCCTCATACGACGAGTCACCCGTCTCGTCGGCTACCTCAGCGAAGCCGCATGCGCCGCAGCAACAGTATCTTGGCGGCCTGACTAGCACGACTCCTTCTGCTACTGTACCAAGGACGACCCCGGCTTCATCGGTACCGGCTTCAGCACCTCGTCCTCCTTCACCACGATTGCTGCCACAGCCACCACACCCACCGAGGATCTCCACTCTAGCATCATCTCCGCCGGAGAGCCTTCTCAACCACCAGCCTTCTCACCAGAACTCATTCCACTCATACACGCCTGCCACAGCGACACCGTTCACCATGGGAGGCCGAGACTCGCTCCCGTCCAACGACTCGGTGTCTGGGACGCCGGGCCCTTCGTCCAGTCACCAGCTGCCCTCATCCAGTTCACAAGCCCAAAAGCGGGCATATCGCCAGAGGAGGAAAGACCCAAGTTGTGACGCCTGCCGAGAGAGAAAGGTCAAGTGCGACGCGACCGACACAACCAGCTGTTCCGAATGCTCGAGCCGAAACGTAAAGTGTCAATTCACCAAGGAGACGAACCGGCGAATGTCTTCCATCAAGCAGGTGCAGGATCTCGAGAAGACGCTGGATAAGCTTAAGCGGGAAAATATGAACCTGAAGCGAGCTTTGGAGACCCAGGGCCACGGCGTTCATGGCCACGTTAACCATGGTCTAGGCCGTGGGCAACCTCACATGCCCATGGACCGCATGGACATCGACAGCGGTCCTGTTTCTGGCATGGGCATTGAGCAGCTGCTTGCTCTTCTCCTTCCCGAAATAGGTGCCGAGCCGAAGCCGAAGAAGAGACCCGTCCCGATTCCGGCGCTCGCGCAAGCCCGGTCAAACATCCGAATTCCCGCAAAAGGCGTCTGGAAGCCACCAGCACAATACCGACACTCGCCAGCTGGTCCGTCCATCTTTGACTACACACTGAGACCCGAGTTGCCCTCGCAACAGACGACAGACCACCTGATGCGCTGCTATTACTCGTCGGCTCATACCATGACGCCCATTATTCACTGGCCAACCTTCCGGCAAGAGGTCGATAATCTGTACAGGCCAGGAGGATTATCACAGCATGTACCTACATCGTTTTTGGCCATGTTTTATGCCGTTCTGGCGATGGGTGCTCTCTTTTCGTCAGATTCGCACCGTTCCTTCCGGGCGGCGGAATGGATTGAAGCCTCCAGGAAGCTTATTGACCCTTGGGGTAACGACTTTGTGCTGGACCATGCTCGTTCACTGGTTCTCATCAGCATTGCCCTCAATGAGCTCAATCTAAAGTCCGCGGCATGGAACTGGCTCGGAAACGCAGTCAGGGTGGCTCAGGACATTGGCCTACACTCGGATATGGGCTCGTGGCCATTGATTGAGAAGGAGATGCGAAAGCGTACCTGGTGGTCCATCTACATTCTTGACCGCAGTCTAAGCCTCGAGCTTGGGCGGCCCATGTTGATCGACGATGTTGACTGCGATGTGCCACTCCCGATGGGGGTAGACGACCATTTCATTCGCGACAACGGCATGGTCGTTCCCAATGGCGCTGAGCCCCTTACTCACTCGCTGCTCGCCATCACACACGTTGTACGATCATACACTGCCCTCGGCCGACTGCTTTCTTCGTCCGGAAGCGAAGGCCCAATGGTCCACAACCGCAACGAGTTTATGAGTCCAGCAATCCCGCCCGCCCGTCTCGCGACATTCGATCAATACTTCGCCTCATGCCTGCGTACCTTCCCTCCGGCCTGCGATCCATCTTCCGGCTCCCCGCTCGCCCCAGTACTCCTCAACCCGCTGATCTACCTGCTTCATGCGCGACTCCTGCTCCATCGCCAGAACCTCTCTCCACAATGCCCGCCCGAAGCCCGCCAGCTGGCCGTGGAGCAGTGCACAAACATCGCACTAGAGTCAGCCGCTTACCTGAAGCGCATGACACCCACCCTTCCCGAGGGGGCCACGGCGCTCACGACCATGCACATCTTCCGGTGCGCCTTGTTCCTCCTGCTCATCGGGCACTTGGACCAAGCTCTCTTGTGCATCCGGGAGCTGGCAACAATCAACACAAACAGAGAGGTTGCGGTACCCTGTGGGCGGTATCTCTTGTTCTTCGTCGGTATTCTGGGACAAAAGAGAAGCGAATATCTTCAGAGAATCATGATGACTGGAAGCCCAGAACCGGCGCCAGTGAGGTTGAGAACTGCCCTGACAAGGGATGAGGAGCTGATTGCATATGTGAGCGCGGATCTGCAGGCGCGGCCCGATACGGCGTGGATCTGGGCAGGCGGAGAGCAGGACCATGCGGCTGCTGCAGCTGCGGCCGCGGCGGCTGGACGTGCAGTGGGGAGCACCAGCAGCTCAAGCCCCGGAGGAGCGAACGGATTGGGAACCCTTTTCAGCGAGGAAGCCAAGATGGGATTGTCGAAGGAGGAAATTACCGAGTGGAACGTGAACAAGGGCTGGACGAGGCTGGACGAAATGGTGCGCGGCTTGGTCCACCCGCTTGCGGTACCGTTGGCACAGGTACCGATGGTGCCATCGACTTCGACCCAAACACCGACCTCAGCGACCAGACCTACGCATTCGTTGGCTTCAACGCCAACATCCGCTACCGCTCCCCATCCCTCATACGCACAAGGACCGCCGCCAGTAACGGTTTCCGGACCCCCTCCTCCTCCTCCCTTGCACTATAGCCATCATGCACCACCACCACCACCACCTCAGGGACGCCAAATGCCATCGGTCCAACCCGGACCCGGCCCGCAACAACCACCCCCGCCAGGAAGCTGGGGCCATCCCCCGAGCGGCCCGACCCTTCCTCCCCCGCAGCCATCGCGATCTCCATACATCCCTCAGCATGGCCACCACCCACAGGGTCCCCCGCCTCCAGCAAAACCCCCGACACTCCCTAGCATCTCACCGGCCGGCACCCCTCGCATCAAGAGCGAGCCAGGGCTACCATCGCTACCACCACTCGGAAGTGATAGAGAAGACAAGCGGCCTATCGGCTTGGGAATCGGCGGTGGTGGTGAAAGAGGACCAGCAAGTGCCATCAGCCCTTCCAACAGGGCAGCGGTGCTTCAGAGCAGCGGAGCCAGTGGACGTGGGGCGGGGGGTAGTCCGACGATGAGCATGAGCCGCAGCCCGACGAGCGCGACAACGCCGACGACAACGACTACGATGCCGAATGGAACTTGGAACCCGACGAACGGTGGGAAGGAGAACGCGAATGGAAACGGAGCAGCAAGCAATAAACCGCCGACGGTGAAGAGCCAGAGTCAGGAGAGGATCAGTATTGCCAATATCATTTGAATTGAAGGCAATAGGGAGAGAAGAGATGAAGGTTGTTGTTGTTGTTATTGTTGTTGTTGTTGTTGTTGTTGTCCTTTCTATAAACAGGAGAGAGGTGGTGGTGGTGGTGCACCGCATTGCACTTGCGTTACATGGCATTGCGTTGCATTGCGTTGCGTTTGCAAAGAGATGCAGGTTTGGCCGGGTTCTTGCATCAAGTTGGAACAGCTCTTTCTGATGTTCTGTTCTCTTTCAGTAAGGTACCTTTTGGTACTTTGCGACGGCGGCGGACTCGGATTTGGAAAGAACCACACATTTTATTTATTATTTTTGGAAAGGAAAGGAAGGGAAAGGAAAGGCGGATACACAAATGAACAAGGCCCCTCATCAAAAGGCTGTGAGGCAAGCGAAAAGTACATGAAATCGCTATTGCCGACAGAAACCGGCTGGGGCTCACTACATAAGCATGGTTAAGGGCACGGGGACTATTACGTTTTGGAATGGCAGGGCGGTCGGTGGTTTTGGATACGACGGTTGGGTGGGCGGATGGGCTCGATATGTACGGATTGAATGGAACGGCTACCTGCTATATCTGGACCGCCACGAACGAACAAGTGTTGGGTTTGCTCCCTCGCAGAGACAAGCAAAACGATACCAGTTTCTTGTTTACGGGTTTTGGTTATTTGGGTTTGTCTTTTTTTTTTTTTTTTACCTTTTTCTTTTCCTTTGTCATCTCCATCTTCATCTTCCCCGTTTTTGGGCTGCGTCTGTCTTGGTGTACGCTTATAAACCATGAATGAGAGTGACAGAGGGGTGGGTTGTACTATGTTTGCTGAATTACTAGGTTTTGCAGAAGATAGAGAGGAAAGATTCGGAGGCTGCCTACCTCTACTCTAGGGCGGGAAGGGCTCCCGCCTCAGAGTCAGCGTTGCGACGAAAAGTCACGCAAAATGAAGAATCGATTAAACAGCTCGAAGCTGTCTTTTGATGACGTTATTACCTATATGGCGTGCTACCTGCTCATCGTCTGTTTTGAAACACACTGCGTCTGTGTTATTATCCACTCATCACTTGAATAGCAAATGTTCGATCCCTTCAAGTTAGAACGAACGAGTCACCATACTGACTAACCTCCCCGCAGGTTCTACCAAGAAAAGGCGTTTCCTATCTACCAGGCAAAGAGTAACAGCAACAACACCAATCGGACAAACTTACCAAAACCGGACAACGAAACGAAACAGCGGCTCAACCACATTTTTGAGACACACTAATTCAAAAACGACCAGCTCATAGATCTAGTAATATGTTGCACTGCACGCAAGTGTCACCATCCATCCAGCATCCAGTTGTATGATATGATACTGGTTACAGAACTGAATGGTGTGTGGTAGTACGGCAGAAGAAAGGGGGGAGGGGAAGGGATCTCGGAAGGAAGCATCGATGATTCTGCTAGTGGAACACGATGTCCGTCCGTTAACTCCCTCCTTCTCGTACACTACAGTATGTCCGTAATCGTATTTTCCTCTTCTTCTTCTTCTTCTTCTTCTTTTCTGGATACCGTTTGGTGTTACGTGACATGTGTACAAGTGTGTTACGTGTTACGTGACTGGTGTCAAAAAGGTGCAACAGTAAAACAGTTAGGGACGATATCCGAGACCAGACCGGGTTTGAGACCCGAAGCGCCACCGCCACCGTCCGTCCGGGTAAGGTACTTGAACTACTACGGCTACACGCCAGGAAACTAGGAAAGAAAGGACGAAGAAGACAAAGACGCAAAGGATGATGGAAGATGGAAAAGTGGAAGGAAAAGGGAGAACAAGTACCTAGGGAAAAGACAATGTAATTGGGTTGGGTACACATGTAGGTATGTACTGCTGTCGCACCAGAAGTGAAGAGTCCGTCCGTCCAGGCTCGGTGACTGACCTATTTTGGACCAATAGGAACAAGCGCCGAGGGTCGACCGTTTACCTACCCCTTTTTCTGGGCTTTTGTGTAAAGTAAACAAAAGAGGCATGAATCAAGTTGAGCGAAGCCAAGCCAAGCCAAACCAAGTCCCCCTCTTCCGAGCGGGCACGGTTTTGATGTTTGATATTTGACATTTTGACATTGAAGGTATTTTTTTTTATATCTCTTTTGGAAAACATCATTGTTTTCGAGCTACACAACAACAGAAATAAGACTGTTCAATTAATAAATACTTACGGCAAGGCATCAACGGGATCAGCGGGACGAACTGCAGTGACGAGAGGTGCATTGACAGAAACGGACTTCGACCGGACGAACATGACCTGACGAACCGTTACAACTTACAAGGCCGTTTCTGTTCGGTCACTCGGTGGAGTGTCCGATTCCTAACTTCCGACGGTATTCCCAAAACTCCTGCTCGTCCCAATGCCGTTTACTGCCGCCCATCCGAACGACGGTTGCTACCTGTTCACTTCTGTTGCCGCTTGTACATATTTCATTTCATTTCGTGTCAGCAAAACGGTTCGTTGAAATGGTTACAGAAAAAAAAATAAAAAAAAAAAGGGTGCGCTTCGGTAAGCAGGCGGCGTGCAATCCGAGTGGTTGCATAAAGTTGAGCCCACGATTCCGACTTCCGAGCGAGGAGCGGAGGACCTGAGGATGAAGCGAAGGAGCGCAGAAGGCGGATCGTGCGTGCAATTTGGAAAAAAAGGGTGGGGGGTGGGGGGGTCAAAATTTGTACTATACTAAAGTGACGAAAATGGTCAATTCACCAACACAGCAACCCCAAAGAAAGAAAAACAATCGAACAAGTCCATCGTCAAACATCGATTGTCAGAAATGATAGTGGCGATGGATGCAAAAGACCTCTCATCACGTCGGAACCAAGTTCTAACCTCCGCAGTCCGCGCAACGGCAAGGCAAGGGAGGCAAGGCAAAGCACGGCACGGCAGGTTCCGGTAATTGCTAATTGCAATTGTCCCTACAATGGAATTGCATAAAGTGGGCGCAGGCGCAGGCGCAAGGTGCGGTTGTGCGGTTGTGCGGTTGTGCGGGATTGTGGAATGGAATGCAGTGGATGATGGAATGTGCCGAACCGAATTCCGAGACCCGGCAACGCTTCCGACGGAACACGGCACGGGTTTCGTTTTGTGTAGAGGTAGTGTGTTCATGGCTTTTCGAGCACTGCACTCGCTCACTCGGAGGCCTTCCGAGACTTTTCGTCTTTTTTTCTTTTCTTGGCGCGGTTGTACAATGGCGGGGGGAGGGGGGGGGGGGGGGGGGGTTTTTGGTCTTGGCTTTCTTTTATCGGCCGTCAATTATCGACCAATTGTATTTGAGGAGGATGGGTGTGTAACGATGGAAGGTATTGCGCGGTGAAAGTTACGCGATTGAGGGGTAATAGTAATACGGCGACGTTGGTATCTTACCATACACGGAACGGAAGTAAGTGCAGTGATGACTGACGAAAACTCCACCCGATGCGCCTCTTCGCTTCCGTCTCACTGACATGCTTCAGGTTTTGAGAATTGATTCATCCACCACAAACAAGAATGATCATCACCAACAACATCCTTTGGCTCACCATCGTTTCATTCGTAACCGTACCAATTCGAGCATCAGAGACTAATCAAAAACCACTCGTTCCACCCAACCCCAGCAAAATGGAGGGCTACGACCCAGACACGACTCCCTCCTCCTCCGGGGGGAGCAGATGGACACCCGTCCTCGACCCCACCAACAACAACACCATCATCGGCCACCACTATTCCGGCCTCAACTACAACGTAGACGAGCCCTGCGCGCTGCAAACCCTCGAGATCTGGCATCCTGCAACGCCGGCCTCCATAGCCCACGGCAAGCCTTCACTCAACGAAACCTACGGTGCCGGCAGGGAAGCGCCCTGGCTGGTGTACATTCACGGCGGCGCCTGGCGCGACCCGGCCATCGACTCGTCCTCCTTCACCCCCAGCGCCACCAAGATCCTTTCGTCCCTCTTCCAGAGATCTTCGTCTCCCATCAAAAAACTGGCCGGCATAGCCTCCATCAACTACCGCCTCTCCCCCTACCCCAACCACCCCACCAGCCCGTCCGACCCCACGGACGACTCCCGCACAGCCCAGCACCCCGATCACATCGCCGACGTCTTGACCGCCATCGCCCACCTCGAAAAGTACTACGGAATGAAGAGCTACGTGCTGGCGGGCCACAGCTGCGGCGCGACGCTGGCCCTGCAGGCTTGCATGGATCCTGCTCGGTGGGAGAAAGATGATGACAACAAGCAGGGATGGGGACCGAAAATGTTTGTCAAAGGAGGGCTAGGCGATGGGTACGGAGGGGTGCAAGAGGTCGCAAAGCCCAGGACGGTGGTGGGGTTCAACGGGCTGTATGATCTCGCGGGCTTTATCGAGAGTCCGCCACAGGGGTATGAGAGGTGGAGGGAGGCTTATAGGGAGTTTGTTACGAGTGCGTTTGGGAGTGATGAGAAGGTGTGGAGGACGGCTTGCCCGGCAAGCGCGGGGCCGTCGTGGGTTAAGGAGTGGAAGTTGACTCAGCGAGGGGAAGAAGGGAAGAAGAGAAAGGCGGTATTGGTGCAGAGCTTGGAGGATAGTTTGGTGCCGGTTGAGCAGACAGAGGGGATGGCGAGGTATCTGGAGAAGGAGAATGAGCAGGTAAATGGAGACAATAAGGTTGAGGTGGCGGTGTTGAGGGAGGAGAAGGGTGGGGATCATGATGAGGTTTGGCAAAGGGGGGATAGGTTGGGGGAGATTTTGGTGAGTGTCCTGGAAGGAGAGATTTGAGCGTATGATCTTTTATGGCGGCATTTGGGGACTGAGACTTGACATGTGCTCAATCTGAGAAATCGTATGTCTATATGTCTCTTGGGCCATCCGGCTATTGCAGGGTTTGGAGCGATTTCAAGGTCAAAGCAATTGCATGGGGAATGTATGGAGAAATGCTGCGTTAAACCCCTCAGAAGCAACGCCCGAAAAGTCTATTCATCCGTACTACATCAACCTGAAAAGACTATGAACCAGTTCTTCAGAGTCTTTTCAAGTCTGACGAGTATAGTCGGTGTAACAGCGACTACTGCAATGGGCTGAGTGTGGACGAATAGTCTTGAGACATTGTGGTTGCACGGAGAGTTGAAGAGCCTTTTGGGCAGCCACTTCATGTCGGCGATTGACCACGAAAAATGGCAGTCTTTGGATGTCAAGAACTCGTACGAGAGAGCTGGACTTGGGTCATGGAGCGCCAATCTTGGGGGGGTGTGATGGATGTTGAACATTTTCCCATAAATCTCCCTTGTCAGGGGCAGCGCAGGGAAACCGAGCAGATCAAATCGGATGGACGAGTGCATCAACCCGGATGGCAGGTACCTTGCATGTCAACCGAACATACCTGACAGCCGGTGTGCTGCTGATAATGATATATGGCAAGGTTCTAGAAGCCGTCTTTCGTGATCGCATCGAGGCTCAGCTCCGGAGGTTACAGCCCGACCACAGCCCCTGAAACTCATTAACAGCTGCCTCTTAGGGCTGAAACTGGGCTCGGATTTGCTCGTGGCTCCCGCGTGGCGCCGTACAAGGGATTATTTCTGGAAGTATTCATGTTTTGACATCAGACTGTCATTCCACTGTTTGGTTGACCGGGTGGCTGTGTCGTTCTTCACCGTCTATTGATATTGTGTTCGCCCCTGAAAGCATCCCATCTCTCGGCGCTTTTCACCGTATATTACTGCCTGTAATATCGGTTGGTCGTTACTGGTGAGCGAGATGGAAAGTTTAGGGTGGAATAGGGTGAAAAGGGGGGCGCGCCATCCGGACCGGTCTGAGCAACCTGATGGCAGGCCGGCGTGGCTGATATCTTGACAATACACATACCCAACCGACGTGGTAGATGCCAATTCTGGAAGCCTTCCCGGATCGTAGAAATGCCACTGAATGACAGAGTGGCTAGCAAAGGAAAAGCGAAGATCGTGATGGACTGCGTTGGTTGTCAAAAAGTTGTCTGATGATCGAACCACCATTACTGTACAGACGGCCACAGCCGGTGAGGGGAATGAGGGGTCGACTCCAATTGGCAATGGAACCGATGTTAATCCAGTTTCCAATATGACTGCGTTGTGTTGCGCAGACCGAGATAAAAAGCTCCAGACTCAAGATTGAATATTGCAACAAGATATCGACTCAAGGCAAGTCAGTTATAAAAAGCAGCTTCGAACCAAGCGAGGAGACCAGGTGCGACATGTCTTAGCTCGAGGTCGTCCAAAGAGCTTCCCCACGGCAGTACAAGTAGTGATGTCATGAGATGCGGGGTAGCAGCTGTTTCACTCGATCCAAGGCACACAAGTTGACATGACCAAATAACAAAAGAGCAAAGAAAGGAATCATTCAAAGATACATCCAGCCATTAGTCAACACGATTATTATCAAATTGAGTGACGTTGGTTGACAAGCCAAATCCCCAATCGGCAGGGGCAGAGAAACAAGCAACAGGCAGGTGCAGACAAAGGTGGAGCTTTGGACGTTCCACAAGTGGACTGGACGTCCCGCAGCGTCCCACAGCGGCCACGAGCAGCTGAACCCACTATGCACCCTGCCAACGACGGTCTCTGATTGGTTGTCCCCCGCACTACCACTTACACGGCAAGCACCTTCCAGCTTTGTCTCTTTCCAGAATTCGTGGGCAATGGCACCTCAAAGAGATGAGGTGCGTCACAGATTCAACAAGTAGCCAAATAGATGCCAAGGATCATGACACTAACCAAGTGAACAAGTGTCAGAGTCTCGTCTGTACGTTGCAGAGTGGACGAGAAGAGCCCAAGCTGGAAAGTGCAAATGCAGAGTTGCCCAACACTTTTGTGTGTTACATTGTACCTTCCCGTACCTGCCCGTTTGAACGACACTCTGCCTGCATATAACGTAGGCAACCCCTCATCCCCCCTCACTCGCCCACTGTAGTCTGACCATCTCCAACTCCAACAACTGTCTGGAATCGTTTTGTCTCCCATTCTGCGTGCCCCAGTCGCATCGCAAAAGCTTCGTTCGGACGTGTCTGTTTCAGCTTCAATCTCCGGTCGACTCCTTGTTTGTCTTTCGTAAGTGGTTCACCCGAGTTGCAATCCCGTAACCCCCCACTCTTCAACCAGGAGACTGTCATCGAGAAGCTCCTCATGTCAGCCCGTCTCCCTTCCTACGACGGCCCCATCTCGTCTCGTCCCGTCTGCACTGCCCCTATTTTGACCTCGTCTCTGTCCCACTGCAGCTCAAGAACAGAATTTAGGCAAACCAACTGTTTGGGTTGTCGTCATCACAATTACCACCAGCGCATAAATAGCAAGCGTCAGCGTCCTCGTACTGACAATCCTCTTCGTTGAACTCAGCATCCAAACACCTCATTACAACCACATTCACACACATCCATCTACCTCTGCGTAACGCCTTCAAAATGGTGCACCTTTCTGCCATCCCCAAGGAGGACGACATCAGCAACGGTCTCAACCTCCCCTCACGCCCGCACTGAAGAAGATCCATCTCCAGCTCGCCAACGATGAGGACCGTTTCACCACGAGCGTGTACGGCTCAAAGTTCGCCACCGCCGACTTACCCCGCCACGAGATGCCCGAAGACGAGATGCCCAAGGAAGTTGCTTACCGCATGATCAAAGACGAGCTGAGCCTGGATGGCAACCCCATGCTCAAGTATGTCCGAATCCCGTTTCTATCCACAGTACATTCGCTAACCAGACTCTCTTAGTCTCGCCTCCTTTGTCACCACGTACATGGAGGAAGAAGCTGAAAAGCTCATGACCGAGTGCTTGCCCAAGAACTTCATCGATTACGAGGAATACCCACAGACGGCCGATATCCAGAACCGTTGCGTCTCCATGATTGGCCGCCTCTTCCATGCTCCTGTGAAAGACTCCGAAGCCGTCGGCGCCGTCGGAACCTCGACTGTTGGCTCGTCCGAGGCCATCATGCTCGCCGTCCTTGCCATGAAGAAACGCTGGAAGAACAAGCGCATCGCCGAGGGCAAGCCCCATGACAAGCCGAATCTGATCATGTCATCCGCCGTCCAGGTGGTCTGGGAAAAGGCCACTCGCTACTTCGAGGTGGAAGAGAAGCTCGTCTATTGCACGCCCGACCGCTACGTCATCGATCCCCAGGAGACAGTAGACCTGGTGGACGAGAATACCATTGGTATCTGCGCAATTCTCGGTACAACCTACACCGGCGAGTATGAAGATGTCAAGGCAGTCAACGACTTGCTCGTGAAGAAGGGGTTGGATACACCCATCCATGTGGACGCTGCCAGTGGAGGTTTTGTTGCACCCTTCGTCGTGCCGGATCTGGAATGGGACTTCAGGCTCGAGAGAGTCGTGTCCATCAACGTTTCTGGCCACAAGTACGGCCTCGTATATCCCGGTGTCGGCTGGGTCGTCTGGCGTTCCGCCGAATACCTCCCCCAGGAGCTTGTCTTCAACATCAATTACCTCGGTGCCGACCAAGCCTCCTTCACCCTGAACTTCTCCAAAGGCGCAAGCCAGGTCATTGGCCAGTACTATCAGCTCATCCGTCTCGGGAAGCACGGATACCGCGCCATCATGTCCAACCTGACGCGCACAGCTGATTACCTTGCCGAGTCGCTTGCCGCTCTTGGCTTCATCATCATGTCCAAGAAGTCCGGTGAAGGCTTGCCTCTGGTCGCATTCCGTCTCAAGGGGGACCCAGACCGCAACTATGATGAGTTTGCTCTTGCCCATCAGCTTCGTGTACGTGGATGGGTTGTTCCCGCATACACCATGGCGCCCAAAACAGACGGGCTGAAGATGCTCAGAATCGTCGTCAGGGAGGACTTCTCCAGGAACAGGTGTGATGGCCTTATCAACGATATCAGGTTGTGCCAAGGTCTTCTTGAGCAGATGGACAAGGACAGTATCAAGAAACAGCAGGAGTTTATCCACAAGAACCATGTGACGAGCGGAAAGGCGTCGCACAACCATCCCAAGTATCGCGTAAGTGCCGCAACAAGGTCCTGTGTCATTTTCTTTGCTTTGGGCGATACCCCTATAATGAAATTCATGCTGACCATGGACTACAGAAGGAGAAACACTCATTGCAGGGCAAGACGGGGAAGACGCACTCTATCTGCTGAGTCTTTTTCGTCGAGGTCTGATTCTGGATCTGACGCTGGGTCTGAATATGACTCAGGGTCTGGTTCTGATATCGATGAATACTACAAGGAGAACCACGAGGGGCAGGATCTTGAACGCGAGAAGTGTCCGTTATGTCGGAGCGCGTCTGAGGTTCAAAGGAAAGGAGAAGAAGAGGGCATAGGCGATTCAGATTCCGCCACCGACGATGGGACACTCGTTCTTGGGGAGAGATATAGTCGATCAAACGACCGATCTACCGAGTCACCAGCAGCATCCACGACTGCAAGGACGGCCTACAATCATCTGACCTTGTCAAGGCACTGTGGTCGGAAGGCAATGGCTCGCGGAAGGAAGCAGCGTCAGGGAAAGGATGCAGGCCAGACTTTCAGTCTTGAGCTCCCTAGTGGGAAGAAGTTACTTACCCTCCGTATCGGAGCTTAGTGACTGTTAAGGGGAGGGACAAGCCGGGGGTTCTCTTCAATTCGTGTATTGATAATCGGATTTTCCCCGGTCTTTTTATTGGCAAGGAAAAGCATTTCTATGGGCAGGAGCAAATCAAGACAATACAATGAACACATTTCTTAACAATTCTGAAGATTTTTGCGAACTTGATTCATTTAACTCTAAAACCATACCCAAAAACCTATCCAAACCAATGCAGTACTAACTCAAGAAATATGCAACCAAAAAAGAAAAATCGAGCTATGTACAAAGACCCTCATTCATAGACATATGTAATATCCAATCGGCCTGTTTTCCGACCCCTTCCTGCCTTCCTTCCTTCTTTGAAGAGTCTTCGGGTATCTCCTCCCATCCCTAACCATCCCTCTCTCACTCTCTTACTGCTTGCTAATAAAAGCACCAAAGTACTTCTCCAGCGCCTCAACCGTCTTCTCGCCCTCCTCAAGCTTGCAAACAAAGCCGACATATCCATCAGGTCTCACAACAACAACACCGCCCTTCTCCTCATCAAAGCCCATCTTCGCGTGCGCCGCCGCCTTGGCGTCAGGAACGCGACGATCCCACCGGTCGTCCGCATACACGTTATCCCTGTAGCGAGCCAACAGCTCGGGCAAGTCGCGGCTGATCTCGACCTCGGTGCGCTTGGCCGCGAACACGGTAGCGAGCGTAAAGAACTTGCTGTGCGGGTTGTGGCGCTCGTGGTGGCTGACGCTGTCGATGTCGGCACGCTTGAAGCGCGCGAAAAAACTGTCGGGCTTGGAGAGGCCGGCGGCCAGGGACTCCAAAGCGGTCTTCTGCGAGGGATTGGTGAGGGAGCCGGCGAAGATGAAGAGACGGAAAGAGCCGTTGAGCGGGATCTCTTGCTCGAGGTGAACGACGTTGGCGTCGACGACGCGGGTTACGGTGCTGTTGATGAAAAGGCGGCCCGGCACCAGCTTGGTGGTGTTGGCGGCTTCTGCGGCGGCGGAAGCGCTCGAGGCTGGGTGCGACGAGGAGTAGTTGAGCGCGTTGGGCTTGTAGAAGACGCCGTACCCGGAGGTGAACTCGCATGATTCCTTGAAGGTCTTGATGAACTCGTTTTCTTCGGCGGACTGCTTGGCGTCCGGGTTGCCGTGGGAAACGCCCGAGGCGGTGGCCTGCGCGGTGGAGGCCGCGTCGGGACGCTGCGAGAAGAGCTTGGCGTACTTGTTGTCGAAGGCAAGAAGAGTCTCGGCCACGTCCTTGCGCTCGGGCTCGTACGTCTCGAGAATGTGGCGCTCTGCAAGACCGCCTTCGACGGCGTGGATCTTCCATGCCAGGTTCAAAGCGTCGAGGAAGGCCGTGTTCATGCCCTGGCCCGCCTTGGGACTGTGCGTGTGGCACGCGTCGCCGCCGAGGAAGACGCGGTGGTCAAGGGTGTACTTGTCGGAAATACCCTGGCCGATCGGGTAGACGGAGTACCACTCGACGCGCTCCCACTCGATGGAGTAAGGGGCCAGGATGCGCTTGGCGGCGGCTTGGACTTCCTCCTCGGTGGCGGTCTTGCGGGGGTGGAAGTCGGCGTCGGTGGAGGAGGCGATCTGGATGTACAGGCGCACCATGTTGGCCTCGCGCGGGATGACCATGATGGAGCCGTGCTCCGAGTGGATGGTGCACTTCATCTTCATGTCGGGGAAGTCGGTCTTGACGACGCCGTCCATGACGCCCCACACGTACGAGATGGGGTCCTTGTGCGTGATGCCGATCTTGAGCTGGTCGCGGATGAAGGAGCGGGCGCCCTCGCCGCCGAAGAGGTACTTGGCCTTGACCGTCTCCGTCTTGCTGCTGTCGTCGACGTGCGCGAGCTGGACGGTCACGGGGTAGGTCGGGTCGGCCTTCTCGTCAGAGGTGAAGCCGGTGATGGTCCAGGGGCGCTGGATCTCGGTGCCGTTCTTCTCAAGGTCGGCGATGAACACGCGCTCGATCAGACCCTGGTGCAGGAGGGTGGTGAAGGGGTAGCGGGCGTCGATGAACTCGGGGCAGCTGGGCCAGGTGCCGGTGCGAACGATGCCACCGCCGGTCTTGGGAGGATCCCAGAAGGCAACCTCGTACACGCGCGCGGGCTTGTGGGCCATGATGGCGGACTTGAGACCCATGTTCCGAAGCAGATCAAGGGATCGGGGCTGGATACCATCGGCACGGCCGGTGGCGGTGGGCTCGGGCCTGTTGTCGATGTGCTTGATCTTGTAACCCCATCGTGAGAGACAGGTGGAGAGCATGAGGCCTACAGGGCCGGCACCGACGATGACTGCGAGGTGTGTTAGCCATGTGTGTAAATACTCAATGAGTGAAAGGGGGTTTCACTTACCAATGTCATAGTAGTTGTCTGGTTGTGTCGCCATGGTGTATGACTGTGTATGTGTGAGAGTAGTTGATGGAAACAAGGAATCAAACCAGATACAAGAAGAGCAACAAAGAGGGGGGGGTATTTCAAACAGGCGATGATGGAGGGACGGATGGATAAATGGATGGAGAATGATAATGAATGGTCAGTCAATAGAGGACAAAGAAAGAGAGCGGGAGGATCATGAGTTTAATAATTATATTCATTTATCATCATGACAGGGTAGTAGCACTCACACCGCGCCCTCTCACAAGGCATCCTTAACACCGAAACCCGGCATGGATTCCGAGAATTGGGGAACACACCAAGATTCGGGGGGCAAGTGATCCACGGAAGCGAAGTGGCATCCTCAGTGTAAAGATGAACCGGTTCACCGCGATGGGTTGCTTTGCCCAGGCGGGCGGGCGAGGGATCCTCAAGAAGTGCGGCAAGCGGACCCGGTATTGGTGAGATTTGACAGCTCCCCGTCCTGGCCCAGACACACAGCACAGCAGTGAGGCACGGCAGAAAGGGGACACACACAACTGCGTCAGAGGAGTGGTGAGGACGTGAGGTGTGGTGGCACCCAGAGGGCTGAATAACGCTGTGCTCCCTGAAAGAGAAGCAAAAGGGTGCATCTGATTGGCCAGATCGCTGTATTCGTGGAGTCTTGGGGCTCTGTACTACGTCGTGGTTCGTCGGAAAGTTGGGTGGGATTGTGGAAAGGAAGGACGGGGAGGGGAAGATCGGGAATGGAACACGGTAGTCGTCGGTGGGGCCGCCGGGTGGTAGTGGGATACAATGTGGATTTTAGAGGCGGTAGTCTGCCACGGAGCGCACGGGGCCCCCAACGGGTGCGGCGTCGGGACAGGGAAAAATAAACATTGTTCCCCAGGATTCCCCACAGCAACCACGGGCAGCAACCACCGAAGCCCAGGCCTGAACTCCAGGCCAGGGTAATCCCGTCGAGTCCGTCGCGACACCGATGATCTGGCCCGCGATTTTGGTCCGGTTTTCTTTTTTGGTGTTTTCCTCCTGATCCCTTTTCCAGGCCTGGCTGCGTTTTGCCAGCTAGTGTAGAGACCAGCTAAAAGTCAGCTTGGTTGTGCCCCCCCAGAAACCTGGCGGGGTCGACGCTTGTTTACTTGCTCCTGCTGACCGTCTGGGTGTCCTTGTCCGTTCACACGAATGACAACAAAGCCGCGACGTTTGCCGTTGCCAACTCGCAAAGGGGAGAAGCCCTTGATATCCATTTCCTTCTCGGATGATTGAGACCGCTGTCACCGCCCTCAACACAAAACACTGGCGCCAGGCCCCTTGATGATCATCAACAACGGGCCCCCCGCCTGCCGCCATCGTTCCCGTTCATGTTCCCCGCGATTTGCCCCCTGGCATTCCGAATCCTGCTGACAAAGAGTCGATTCACGGATGTCGGAAGGGCCCCAAGGAATCATCAACTGATCGAAGAACGAGGGCATCGTATCGATAAATCAACATGGCTCTCTCCCTCACACCGTCGCCCAAAACATGCTGTTTACGAATCTTTAGGGGATCCATCTCGCTGTGGACCTCGTGGAGTCGTGATCCCACTGCGGGCGGCCAACTCCATTCTTTACCCCATGGGACCGACTCGCCCAGGTCCACGAGAACGGGGCCTCTTCTTCAACCACAGTTGGCAATGTCGGAGACGACTCGGCGTTCTTGTCTCTGTACTACCGATTGTTCTATGATCCATCGCGAGAAGAGGATATCTTTGGCATCATCATGGTGACAGGCAAGCTGGCTACGAGAATATTACCCGCGATCATGTTCAACCACGCCTTCTAAATGCCTGGAACTCGTCACCCACCCAAGTTTCCGGTCGATGTGTATCCATGTGAATTCAGAGGGCCACTTCTACACACGTCTTCCTCTTTTCAATCAGGCACCCGTTCCATCAATCTCCCGGCTCATTGTTTTCTCTCATTGTGATGGCCTTCGCTTCTAGCAGTCCGACACCTGATGATGACCAGACGTCAACAACTCAGACACCAGCCGTCACAGTCGTCACAGCCGCAGCCGCAACTGTTACACGATCTGGTCTTGTCGTCAAGACAGCACATCGAGGTTACCTAACGAGGTCTGACGGAGATTTCTGATCCGCCCGATTGGCTGTCACCAGAGACAGCGTGTCTTGTTCGTCGGAAGTCTGTGGCGCTCAGGGGTGAGCAGGGGTACCAAGACCTGAAGCCCCGGGAAGTAAACATATTTCCGTTTTCGGCACCATTCTTGGGTTCGTGTTATTTTTCTCGTTCCTAACTCTGCGCTTGCCAGGTTCAAGCAATGCCCCCTACGCAGCCAGAGGTAAGATGCCTCTTCCTCAGACGGCCGTCCACGCACAGTTCGTGCTGTTGAGGGTTTTCTCACTTGATGCTGAGCTGCCAATCAAGCCTGGTGGGTAGGGCTTTTCCCAATCATTGGACCCTTCTTGCCCACATGTCCCATGAATAACTTGTGCGACCGAGAGTAAGTAAGCAAGGTGTGATACCCGACATCCTGCCTAAAGTGGTCAGGCAGCAGCTACTCATGCCTCATTGTTGATTCTCATGGGCTTCCATTTCTTACCAAATTCCACAACACAATCTTGGGAGAACACATTCTACCGCAACATACTCACTACACAAGTCCATTGTCACGGCTTCTTCCGGGCTAAGTCATCATAGTAGGCTATGGCACATTATGGTAACCTCAGTCGAACCGCCGCTGTCGAACACCCTGTGCCGCAAATGCCAGCAGAGTTTTCCCTCGACAGGGCCGTGGCCGTTTGAAAACCCTAATGGTTACACCTACAAGTTGATGTATAACTGGAAGGAATGGTTCATACGCAAATCCACAATTGAGGAACTTGATACGTCCATAACTGCCGAAAGCTGCCATCTCTGTCGGGTTCTCCTAAATTCACTACTTCCCAAGTCCATTCTTATGAGTAACTACGATGGCTACTCAAGTTGGCGCGAACAACACAAAAATGATCAGTACAGGCTCCTGTACGTGGCCAACGACTCGGTTCCAAACGGCCATTGTCTGGAAATCAAGACAAACGGATTCCAGTTTTCAATGAAGGTCCCCTTTAAACGCGTTTCCCCAGGACATGCTCTCCAGGGTGACAAGGAGGCGAGCCCCGACCAAGTTTGGACGATGCAGGCTGGCTCGCTTTTGTTCGCCGACGATAGCAGTGTCCTACCATCTCCAGTGGTAATCCACCAACCCTCATCGTCAACCACCTTTGATCCGCTCGTTTTGACACAAGTCAGACGCTGGGTCGACGAATGCATTCGGGAGCATGAAGCATGCATTATGTCCGCGGCGTCAAACCGGCTGATCATGTCTGAGTCGCAGACCATGGTGCGCTTTATCGATATCGGACTTGACGAAAGTGCGACGATTCACCTGGTGGAGGAAATTCAAGAGAAGAAAGCAAAATACATCACTCTCAGCCACCGATGGACCACACACACATCGTCGATGACTTTAAAAGGCTCCAACAAAGCTGCATACTACACAACAATTCCCACCGAGAACTGGCCCAAGATATACAAAGATGTCGTTTTCTTATCTCGCTTCCTCGGCATACGTTACATTTGGATTGACTCACTTTGTATCATCCAGGATGATTTACAAGATTGGAGCGAACAAGCTTCCTTGATGCATCACATATATGCTCATGGTTACATCAATCTCGCTGGCACTTGTGGTGAATCCTCTCCTGGCCTTGAAGTCACCCGGAATCCAGCTTCAATCTCGCCTTGCATAGTTTCGCGTCTACGCCCAAACAACCTACAGGAATATTGGGCTTGCTATGTTGGTGACAGTCCGGTGATGAAGCTGAAACATGCCCCCTTATACTCCAGGGGATGGTGTTACCAAGAGCGCTTCTTATCTACGCGGACCGTCCATTTCAACCAGCAGCTCTACTGGGAGTGTAAAACCAGGCAAGCCTCCGAGACATTTGGATGGAGTACCAAGAGCGAACACCCAGACGTGATCACCACCGTGGGACAGGGAGTTGAACCAAATCCTCTCAAATCTGTGCTACAAGGAAACGCCATGGCTTATAGTGCTCTCTGGGAGAAAATCATTGCCGATTATAGTGAGACTGAGTTTACCAACTACTCGGACAGGCTGGTCGCCCTCAGAGGAATCTTCAACAACTTCTGGGGGATTTTTGACGGATCCAAGGAGAACGACTGGTGTGTAGCAGGCCTATGGAGGAGATGCATGACCCGACAGTTGCTATGGGAGCACAGACACCAAACTGACCACATCCGTACCGGACTCGATAGCGACCGCATAGCCAAATATTACATGCGCATGGAAAAAGAACTTGCCAGCTTTCCTTCATGGTCCTGGGCGTCTTGTCCCACCTCAGCAAGGTCATCTTCTATTCAGTTTCCTGCTCCCTATCACTCGGAGTACACTCCAAACCAGTACAATGAAGATTTGGTGGAGATTGAATCCATTATTCCCCTAAATCAACGTGCCTTTGATCAAGGCTACCCAGCTTTTGAGTCTGCATCAATCATAACTCGCACTTCATTCAATGGTCCTAACTTTGAAGTTGATAAACTCTTTAAAGGCTGGGAGCTCTGGAAACCTCCACCTCGAATTGACTGGATAACGCTTGAAATAGTGAAGCGGCGGAAGGCTTTGCTCGACTTGAAGCACTGGAAACCTTCCCCCGCCCCGAATCAATGGAAGCCACCCTCCAACTTGCAGTACTGGAATTCCGACTCCGACCTGGAGAGCTGGAGGTCTCCCTCCATTTATCGAATTTGGGGCCCCAACAATACCAGCAAAGATGAACTTCATGCGCGCATACAACTCGATCGGCCCATATTGAGAACTACCCAGCCAAAAAATGTACAGCTACTCCCGATACTCGTACAATGCGAAAGCTCCCACTTTAACTGGGTGCGCATCGAAGGCATTCTAGTGGAATCGGTCGGCATGCGAGACAATATGCCGGCGTTCCGTCGGATGGGGAAGTGGCAATCTAGCCACCATGCTGATAAGGACCAAATTCCAATACCTGGATTGCCTGAGTACTTTGACAGCAAGGAAAATCTCGATCTTGCAATGGCGGCGTTCATAAAGCGGCGTGAGAGTCTTCCCAAGCGCAGGTTTATGTTGGTATAGGTCAGCCAGCGGCAGTAGGGTCTTGAAATAGTACTGACCGTGGAAAGTGGGACGTCTTGTACTTGTACACATGAATCCGAAAGGGCAATGCGGGCACTTGTGGAAATTAACAGACTGTTCCTAACCCTGTCCCCCGTATCTGGAGAACTGTCCGAATTGGACTACCAAGTCAACCATGGTAAGGTAGCCAACAGAACCTCTTTGAAATTTACTGATGTTTCGAAGCTTGACGGGGCACCACAGTATACTACCAGGTTTGATGTTATGAACTTTAATCCAAAATGGGACGGGGAGATTAGAGTTTTGTATATGCAGCTCCTTGACAAGTTGACAGTCATAATTCTATTCTACTCCATGAACTTGACCCCTGGCCTTGCCGTGCCTCTGTAGGATGTACTTATCCCAAAGCTGCTACCAATTTTTGGGAAGACAGTGATGTCATGACCGGCCTACGATATCTTGAGCCAAAGCAAATTTTGGAGCACCTATTGACCAAAAGATCTTTGTGCCGAGAAAAAAGAATTACAGGTTCCTCTTCCCTTCTATTTCAATACAAGGAGAGTCTCAAATAAATAGAGGTAATGATACGCAGCGCTACGCCAGTTCTGATTACACTATCATGAACATTCACAGCCTGGAAGGCCGGACCGGCCTGTGAAATGCCACAAGTCCAAGATGACAATACATTTGACTCCCGCGCCTTACACATGTGCGTCCATAAGAACAAACGCTACTAAAATTTAGAATGTCCAAAAGACAATGAATGGGCTGCTTTAGTTCTTCCACGATGTAATATCTTGCAAGGGGGCCAGATCAGCATGGTGAAATTGGCCGCGCAAAAATTGCCTTTGTGTTGATGAAGATGCAAGTTTGCAACGCAGGAGACCGGGCAAAAGTGCCCTTAGGAGAGCTGGTGGCTACAGGAGATGTTGCTGGATGGGTAGGTTGGCGGATTGTATTAGATATTTTGGCGTTTTGTGTTCTGGTCTTTTTCAATGTTGAGCTAAGAATTTCTTCCAACCTTTGACGCATGCTAGACACTCGGCGAGATCTACATGAGTAATGCGATGGATGATTTGGGCTTTTGTAAATCTTGTGGCAGGGTTCATGCGTGAATGAGAATCAGAGGTAAAGGTGGGTGACGGCAAGGTGAAGAGCGGGAACATGGATCTGATGGACACCCAACTTCAATACAAGGTGTCACACACATGCGACCTGCCTCAAGACTAAACCGGTGGGAGATGATAGCTCTCATGTCAGACACTCGGCGAAAAAATACACGACAAATGGGACGTGTGATTTAAAGTCCTATGAAACTGATGGCCAGATTGACGACGTAAATGAAGATCAGAGACAAGGAAGATGGAAGGCAAGTTGAAGAGCGCGTGAAAAACACCAACCTTAAATACGTGGAGTATACACATGTTACCTGCCGAGACATTAAGTAGGGCTTAATGACATCTCCCATGATAGGTAACTTTGGTTTGCGCTCGTGAAAGGGAACGGAAGGTTAGGGGTCCTGGCCGGGACTACAGTGTTCTCCTCGACCTTTCACCTGGTTGCCTGGGTGACCAAATTCTGACATTGAAGGGCCAGAGTCCCAACCTTCGGACGAGCACCCCACCCTCGATCGAACCCAAGGCCGTTCCTTCCTCCTGTCGGTCCGTCCAAAGTTACTTCTGACTGGTAACTAATACAGCCATTGGCCAATGACCTGGGTCGCATGTGTTGCGACAAAAATATTTTCCAAAATCGCCTGTCGTGCAAGCTCCCGGCCGGACAATCACAGCCGCTTAAATACCCCACCGGTCTGAATAGACCAGAATAGTAAACAGCCCACCCCATTGCTTGCTATTGTCGCGTTATTCGCATCATTGCTCCAAACAATGGACCGAGTCCAAGATTGGGTCACCGATCTTCCTACTCCCGGAGTTATTGCTGCCCCCTTACCTAGCCCTGTCGCGAGTCACCTTTCCCTCTCTTCAGGCAAATCGAATCCTCCTCCGTTGCGCAGAAAAGGAAACATCACGCCCGACTTGCTTCCTGACAGGACTTATCAGCACCAGCATAATCATCACCATCATTCTTCGGAACAAAACCCCAAAGCATCTAAACACCAACAGCAATCGACCATCACGGCGCGTCAACAACCACAGCAGGATATCACCACCAATATCCCGTCAGTCACTCGACCATCTTTCGACATTGCTTCTTGCCAGCAGAACAACGAGCTTACCATGTATGCGCACGACAGCAAGGCCATTCGTGGCAACTTTATTCCCGTCTCCCAGTCAATGGGCGGTCGCAGTCGTTCCCCCCACCCTTGAGACTGCGGGCTCTCAGCCCCAGAAGCATCTGTTGGCGCTCAGCTTGACCGAGTCGCAAATGACGAGGCTAGCGCAAGTGTAAGTAAACAAGCCATTGCATTGTCTTTTTTCTTTTCACCCGATACTGACCAGCCAAAGTCTCTCTGAAGATGGCGACACAGAGAGAGAATCGCGCGGCCGCCAGGCTCCTCAGCCCGAAGTCCATCAACCCGAGGCCATCGCATCACCGAATCCAAAAGCCAAGGAGCACAAGACGCTCAAGCAGAGATTCAGGTCTCTCTCTCCCGCTAAGAGAAGAAAGAACCAGCAAGAGGCTGCCGCCACCCCTTCCAGACAACGCTCTCCTTCGCCCACCAGAAGAGGCACGGGACAAAAGTCCTCTGAGCAGCGCCGGGTTAACCACGACTCCGAGTCTTACCAGTCACCTCAAACTGCAAGCAAGACGAGGCAGTTCCATAAGCACCAAGTTTCGTGGGATCGACAGTACGAATCCCCCAAGCCTGTCAGCAAACAGAGACAGCAGCAAGAGTACCAACAGCAACAGCAGCAGTGCATGTCCCCTCAACCCGCTAGCAGACAGAGGCAAGAGCAGCAACAGCAGCAACAGCAGCAACGTGCTGACGACGCCGCTACCGAGACCGCCGCGTTCCGCTTGGCTTCTCCGTCTCCCTCTAGGCATCGTCAAGACCGCGCCCCTCTTGCTCCCATCGATACCGACATTGCTCGTCTTCACGCCAAGGTCACGGCCCAGCGTGAACCCATCGTCATTCATTACTCTCCTGAGCCTGACGCGCGAGTGGCTTCCCAGGCTGTTCAGATTGTCGCCACAGACAAGTCCTCCGTCTACTCCCAGGAGAATCAGGAGCCTGCTCCTGACCCTCGCTTCCGTTCCCAGATCAGCCCGCTGCACATCGTCAAGGACAACAACCAAGAGAACGATAGCGCATACTCCCAGACTCTCAGCATCCTTCAGGATTACGGCAACTGGAGCAACTGGGTCAACTCGGAGCCGGTTCAGAACAACCAAGGCCCAGAAGTTCCTCGCGCTCCCACCAAGCTATCCAACCATAGCGCCGACCGTCCTGGTACAGGACAAGGAACCAATCAGTCCTCAAACGGAGCCACAGGCACCGATGACTTCCACTACTCAGCCTTGACTCCTCTCTTCCCAGTCCATAACATCAACAATCCCAACCGCAACATGCGCATGGCGTCGAAGACCTTGATCGGCGAAAACGGCTGGTTGGAGTCCACATCTCGTCCCTCAGACACCCAGAACCCAAAGCAACCCACCATTGCTGCCGCTGCCGCCGCCACCTCCAACGGCCACAGCAAGAAACCTTCCATCGCCACTCCCGTCCGCAAACCAGGCTTCCTCGACAACCTCGTCAAGAGAGCCAAAGACTTCGTCTCCGCTCCTCTGCCCGAGCAGAACGCCAACAACCAGCGCTCCTCCCACGATTCCAACAAACCTCACTCGCCACGCACCTTACAAATCAGTCTCACCCCGCGCGAACAATCGCTTCTCTACTGCGAACTCGAATTTCTTTTGACAACTCTCCTAAACACCTACATAACCACCCAACTCTCGCTCGGCCTCCTCGACCACTCCAAGGCCAAGCGCGTCTCAGACACTTGGCAATCAAAAGGCCGCCCGCGTGTCGTCGCCTTCCGATACGATCTCGAAACCCAGCTCGATCTCGTTCGTCTACACGCCAACGACTTCAAGTTCTACGGCCCCGCGGCGGCCAACACAACTGCTATCTTGGGTATCGTTGACGGCGCCAAGACTGACGCAAGAGCGATGCGCATCAGGACGTTTTGCCAGCCAGACACAGTGGTGGCTAAGCAACTCGTCGGTGCGAAGGCGCTGTGCGGACTTCTGGGCGCCGGAGACACGGAAGAGAGGAAGTTGGGGGAGTGTATAGGTTTTTTCAGGGCGGTGATAGAGAGGGAGGTGCAAAAGGGGATGATTGAAGCCGGTGCTGCTGGTAATAGCGAGCAGACAAGTGAACAGCTGGATCAACAGCAACAGAGAGAGTCGGGAAATACCACCGCTTCCAATGGAGATGGGATCTGGGTCGGTGTGCGCCACAGTATCAGGGCCCGCCGTCGCCGATTCCGGAACAACGGGATTTGAACCAGACTCAGTCGCAGATCCAGATCCAGAGTCGGAGTCAGAGCCCGGTGAGACGTGCTGCTGGACATTCATCTGGTGAGTCGAACAAGTGGCATCAGCCTCATCAGCATCGCCAACACAACACCGCACCCGGCCATCCAAGTGCCAGCGGCGCTCATGGTCATCACCATGCGCTTTCTAGCCCGGTTCGGTTCACCACTTTTGCTGCTGCTTCTGGTGGTGGTGGTGGTGGTGGACACTTGAAGGGATCGCCGTCGCAGGGAATCATCAAGATGGATCCAAGCGCTTATGATGAGGATGTCCATCCAGGTTCCAAGATCTTTTGAGTTTGAACAGGTTGCGTTTGCGTTGCTTCGGGTTGACTTTAGCGCGGCGGTTTTGCTGGCTCGTGCTCTTTGACGGGTGGCGTTATATAAGAAGCGTTGTCTTCATTGGGCTTCTTCCTCTTTCATGAATGGGGTGTTGTGGATATAGAGTGGTGTATGATCAAAGATACCCCCATCAGTTTGGTAGTGGTTTACTTTCAAAGGAAAGAGAAAATCGGTACAGGAAAAAGGAAGGACCAAGGCGCTTGGTATTGACTTTTGGGGCAATGGCTTTAGTCTGGAGGTGGTACCAGGGAGAGGGTAATAGCGACGGGCGTATCTAGTGTAGGAGTATAACCAAAAACATCATTCCATCAAACATCAATGATGGCACAAAGTGTGAGAGTAAAGACCGAAGGTGATTGACTGAATAAAAGAGATGACTGATGACAAAGACATCGCCAGTTATTTCCGTATGCAACACGCAAGGTGACATGGAACGCCCCGTCCCGTGATGCCGTCCGGGTAGGTACACACTCGGTCCGACTGTTTTTTAGTTACCGATCATCAGGTGGTCCTCTGTTAAAGCCATCAAGTGGCTGTGGTGTGGCTCGCTCTAAGGGAGGTAAGGTATGCACGAGCACGTTTACCTGTGCGTTGATGTCTGACCATCACCGGTGGTTTTGTACCGAACGCGCATGTGGGAGGCAGAAGGGGTTTAGGGTTAGGGATTTTGATGATAACAACTCAGGGAATGGACAACAAGCAGAGAAACACCCGGTGGGATGATAATAGCATATGGAGGGATGATGAGATGAGGGGAAGATCTGGCATAGCATGGGATATGCAATGTAAGCAATCGAGAGTGTTCAGAAGGTGTTAAGAACGTTGGGAGAATGTTCACGCCATTGGGTTTCGTCCATCTCAATATGAGAATTTGTCTCTTCCTCTCAAACTCCTTTCCTCTGTCCGAGAGATCGTGACATTCCTCAATTCAAAGCCCTTGTACAATCAATTTACATATTAAGCGTCAAGAAATATTGCCCATACCCTGTTAACATGATCTAAAGCCTAGCCTGTTCATCCTTAGTTTCCCCGTTAATCGTTCGTACCTTGATCATTATCGTCTTCACATAGTATCCCGTCGTCCACTTTGTTACTATATTACACTTTGTACTTACGAATCCTTTTAGCATATACCCACCTTCTCTAATCATAAACGCCGCGCGTCTACACACACACGACACATACAATACAGTCACTTATATCCGTCAATCAGGGGTAGTAGCCAGTTCTAGACATACCCGCTCGAGTCAGTTGGCCCCCGAGCTCCCATTTTATATCCGTGGAGCCACAGGCCGCGCAATCATGAACAGGGTCCCCCGGCTTCATGACCCCGTTTACCGTTTCATCAACCCTTCACGGTGACGCAAGCTCTCGTGGTGGTGGTTATTGTTTCTTTCTTTCTTTCCACTAACCTAACTTTGTTTTTTGCAGTTCACCACTTCGTTGATATTTTTGATGTTTTACTAGCAAAAAGGTGAAAGCATACAGCGCAATTCCTTTGCTTTCGTTGATTGCTGGGAAAAGCCGAGTTCCTCTTCCTCATCAGTCATGGGTCAGATTTGAGTTCATCTTCCATCCGGTCTTCCGGCGCATTTCGCAAACCACCAACCATCTGGAAAAGTTATTTCGTTACCTGCTGATCACCTTGATTCACTTTACCTTTTAATCCATCTGGCTCTCTCTTGTCTCTGACCCGATACCGAACGGCTTGCCATTCCTTCACGACACACGACACTCTTACACATTTGCGCAATCCAAAGTTGAAACCGCAAAGATGTCGTTCACACTAACACCAGAACGAAGACCCGCGACAACGACAACGACAACGACAACGTCATGGACGAGAAAGAGTCGCATATTGACCCTCCTCATGGCCTTGTCACTCATCCTATCCTCACTCGCCACCCCCGTCCCAATCGAAGACCACAGCAACAACTTGCTCAAATCTCCCGTTTTCAAGCAGAATAATAACAAGCCCGCCGTCGAGGCCAACAATAACAACAATGTTGCCGTAACCAACAAACCCATAACAAACGCCAGCGTCCGCACCCTCCTCAACCCCATCGCCAACGCCAACGCCCGTCCCGCCGCCGCGGGGCATCCCCGCCCCCTCTTGCGACGACCCTCCTCCCAGTCCCAGTCCCAGTCCCAGTCCCACCCCCACTCCCAGCCGCAAGCCAAAGCGAAAGTCAAGCAAGTCACTCCAGCAACTCCCGCAGCAGCGCCAGCAAACTCCGAACCCCAACCCATCATTCCCGCTGTCGCCTCAGCTGCCGCCGCCTTCGTCGAAACTACCACTCCCAAAGAAACCAACACCACCACCGACCCCCTCCTCCCCGAACACAAATACTTCCACGAACCAGGCTACACCGAATCCCTCTCTCACTACGATTCGCGCTTTTATGGGGCTCCAATCCCCTATGACCCGCACATCGTGCACCTGCGTCACTTAATCCGATCCTACCTGCTCATGACGTCGTCCCGCTCTCTAACAACCTGGCTTGCGCACGGCACTTTGCTGGGGTGGTACTGGAACGGCCACATAATGCCGTGGGATTACGACCTGGACGTTCAAGTTAGTAACAGCACCCTAGGGGAAATGGCTAGGGAGTGGAATGGGACGGTTTATGAGTATGTTTATGCGGTTTCTTCGCAAGGCGGAACAAAAGGAAGGGGTGAAAGAAGGGGGTAAAAAAAAGAAAAAGGGTGGGGAAGTTAATGTCAAGAAATACATGCTTGATGTTAACCCCTACTGGGCGCAGCGGACAAGACTGGATGGGTTGAATATTATCGATGCGAGATGGATTGATATGGAGACGGGCATGTATGTGGATATCACGGGACTGAGCGAGGATCGGTTACAGACTGCGAAAGGGACTGGAGAGGGAGGCAAAAGGGGGAAGGGGGTCGGGGTCGGGGTGTGGACGGATAAGAATTATCATGGGTATGGGACAAGGCAGATTTGGCCGTTGAGAAGGACAGAGTTTGAGGGCGTGGAGGCGTGGGTGCCGTGCGATGTGGAGGGCGTTTTGGAGGAGGAGTATGGAGCGAAGAGTTTGACGGCGGAGGAGTGGGCTGAGTGAGTAACTTCTGCCTTTTTTTGTTTGGGTTTGGGGATGTTGACTTACTGACGATTTGGATCTGACAGACACCACTTTGATCATGGACGGAAGGAATGGGTAAAGACGGAGTTGGTGAAGAAGGGGCCGTGATGGTTCTTGGTCATCGAGAGAACTCCTAGTCCAGCTACATAGGAAGATGATGTAGCTTTGTTTTGTTGTTTTGCATTTCTGGCGTTGGGATACCGGTGGCTTAGAACGGGCACATAAAGGGATCGAACATGGAAGACGGAATAGGGAAGATAATGTCTGCGAGATTTGTCGTCGAAACTATCGCCAGGGGCACATAGACAAGCTTAATACCCGTGTCTTCTAGTTAGCCTTTTGCGTTTAAGATGCGTACCTGTTAGCTCACTGACCATGCATGGTTCAACACATGTATAGCAACTGGTACGCCAAACAGATGGCTCAACAGATGGTCCAACGCTGTTGATGCATGACTTTGATCGCTTGATCACCAAACATACAGTATTCTTCATGACTCGTGGACATCAAGTCGGATATCGTCTATCCAACAACTCCATTAACGCCCGTTAACAGATCCGCTCGTCACCCAAACACAACCTGCTCGTGCTGCTTCTCATCGAGATACTTCTGCAAAACCCCTTGCAGCGCCCCTTTCGTCTTCTCTATAGCAGGCACCACGCCCTCAATCTGCTCCAAGTTCCCTCTCATACTCTCCATATGACTTCCTAGCTGCTGCGCCAACTTGACCAGCTCCTCATCGCCTTCAATTCCCTTGAAGACACTCCCACCTGTTTTTCCCTCCTCCGCGGGCTTCTTGACCAACTCAATCTCTCCTTCCTCTTCCCGCTCCCTCGCAACACCAGGTCCCGTAGGTCGTGTCCCCGGCGCCAACACATGGTCCCTTTTCCCACGTTCCCTCCATCCCCTCGATTGCGTCCGCGCATTAGTCTCCAGCGTTCTCAACCGTCTGTACGCCCGCTCCAACTCCTGCTCCTCCTTCTCTTTCTCCCGCTTAAGGAGGGCGACGGAGTGGAGCAGTGGATCGAGCGTCCTCTCGAGGGCTTGGATCGCGTTGACAGTCTTCTCAAAGTCGAACTCCGCTTCGTGGCCGGGGCCCGCTGCATGTTCGCCGTTGACATCTCTCGGCTGCTCCTTCGAGGCTGAAGGGAGGGAGGGCGGCGGGAATGGCATGCCCTTTTCTAGCTTCCTGTGGAGGCGCGAGGCGAAGGTGGTTAGGATGTCTTGGGCGTGGGCGTGTCGGCTTGAGTCGCTGCGGGTTTCGCGCAGACGGAAGAGGATGGGGCGGGAGGCGTCGGCGATGATGCTGTCTACTGCGGCGATGGAGGGGGCGTCGAGAGGGGACCATTTGGAGGCGATGGTGGACCGAGGGATCTGGCGCGTGCGGGAAGTAAGGTGGCGGTAGTTGGGGACGGGAGGGGGTTTCTCCTTAGGTTCTTTGGGTTGTTGTTGAGCGGGAGGTTCTTCGTCGTCATCCGGTTCGGCGTTCTTTCGTCGTCTCGGCTTTTCTGCTGGTCCTGTGGTGTTCGCTTCCGAGTCCTTGGTTGGTCGCTTCTCTGCCCGCTGTTTCTTAGCAGCGGCTGCAGGTACGGCCTTCTCTGTTATGGTGGCATTCGGAGGACGATGAGCTGGCCCGCGTTTCTTTTTCTGTGCAGCTTCATGACGCTCGGCATCTTCTGTTTCTGGAACAGCTTGACCCTTTCTGGGTTGTTGTTTCGGTGCCTCCTCCTTGAGGTCTGCGCCTTCGGCTTCGGCGACCTTCTTTCCTTTCCTGCCTTTGGTTGTCTGCTCGTTCCGCGGAGGAGACGTCCGGTTCTGACCCCTGGAGACGGATACTTCGCGTAGTGATGAGCGACTGTTTTCCTGGTCTTCCGATGGATCCCCCCTATTCTCCTTTCCACGTTGAGTAGTTTGTGACGATTGCTGACTTGAATTGGTTGACCTTTTAGTTCGGCGGACGTCCTCCTTCTGTGCTGGTTCCTCCTCAACTGTCGCTACTTCTTTCCGGCGGCGCAAATCCTTCTCTGTCGCCTTGACGGTGTCCTTGCTCGGCCTTCCTCTTGGTTTCTTGTGATCGCCGTCTTCCACTGGTTCTTCCGCAGCAGGAGAAGGTCTCCTCCGTTTCCGTGGTCTCGTTTCCTCTGTAGGCGCGTCGGTACTGGCATCTTCCGTACGTTCCTTGGGTGGTCGCACTCTCTTCCTAGGGTTAGGTGGTTCCTCTGCGACAGGTTCCTCTCTGGCCACCTTGGGTCCTCGTTTGGACTGCTTCTCGACAACAGCAGGTGTGGCTTCTTCCTCTAGGGGTTCAATATCGAGTGTCTTCTTAGGTCGTCCTCGTTTCTTTGCCCCCTGGTCGGGTGCGCCTGCTGCTTCTTCTGACTGTGTCATCTTTTCTGCTGGTTTCGGTCTCCTTGTTGTCGTTGTTGTCTCCTCTGCGCGCCCCGACGCGTCTTCTGCTGTCTTGGACGCGTTAGGTGGCCGACCGCGCTTCCTCTTCTGATTTGATATCTCGGGCGCCTTTCATGAAAGTTAGCATGCAAATATTGGAAGTGGGTCAATTGCCCTTACCATGTCTGAAATAAACAGTTATGCGCCGTCGGTATATATGGATGAATGATGGAGTGTTGATGGTGAGTTCGTCAAGGTGCCAATAAGAAGTGTAAGTAATTGCCCCTCGAAACAAGCCACAGCAATGACAGCTCGCAATGATGTTACTGTGGCTGGTGCCCCGACAGCCACCGCGCGCTTATGGTAGGTGATCCGTAGAATTTGCTGTGGGGTTCTGCCTAGAATCCGGGGGGCCGGGGGGCAGCTGTTGCGGGCCGTGTTCCAGTTTGTTGGGCGGCCGGTTGCTGTGAACAGAAGGGTCTCGAGCTGAAGCCTCCCCCAGTTGGCCCCTGACACCTGCTTCTATTGCTACGGTTCCCCGTTTGTATCGCAACGTCGGGTAGGGGCCAAGAACACCCGACGGCGGCGACAAGCTCACTTGTTTTTATCTGCTGCTTTCCAACTTCTCCATCCAAGTTACCATCTGCAACGCGCCGTCTTCCTATCAATCGCCAGTGAACTTGTATAGGGGTAAATTCCTCTCTTTGTTTACAATAACATTGTCGCCCATACGACGAGACAAGCAAAGGTACCAAGTTCCTTCTCCCCCGTTCTGCCTGCCTGCCCGCTGAAATCCATAATCACCGAATATCTTACTCCACCCGCCCGCATTGAGCTACGGACTGGAGACCCCAGGCTCTCGTCTGATACGTCCAGCCCTCGCTCGAGGCCCCTCAACTGTCCCTGCAAGCCTGCATCCGTTGAGAACGGGTGTCCTTACATCACATCATTGGAGCTAACGAGCAACAAAAAGACAGCTTGACATCTGATTCTCTTTTTTTCCTGTGAAATCTTCTGTGCCATTCATTCTTCTCTCTACACGGTTCCTGTCCAGCTTCACGGTTTCCCATCCACAGTCCAGACACAATGCGCTTCTCTACCTCCGCCGCCGTCCTGGCATTGCCTCTTCTGGCTGCCGCCGAAAGTCCCCTCGACCAGTACAAGGCCAAGTTCCAGAACTTCCTCGGAAGCTTCGCTGGCACTGCCGGTGGTGCTGCCGTTCAACAGGCCGCCGAGGTTCCCCAGCAGAAGCCCATTGTCTCCAACACTGAGTCTGCCACCACCAGCACGGTACCGGCCAAGAAGGTTGAGCGCCTCACGCTCTCCAACTGGAAGGACACCTTGTACGCTCCCGTCCAGCCAGCGGCCACTACCCCCGAGGAGTGGTGGGTGTTGATTACTGGTGGCAACAAGACGTGCTTTGGTATGAACTTTCCCTATCCATTGTGAATTTGTTGAAAACTAACCGGTTTCCTTCATCACAGGCCGCTGCGGACCCGTCGATGAGGCCTTCGGCGAGACGGTGGAGAAGTTCGCGACGCTTCCCAACTCTCCCCACGTAGCTATCCTTGATTGCGAAGCGGAGCCCGTCCTTTGCAATGTCTGGTCCGCTGGCGCTTCGGCCCTCTGGGTCTTCGACATGCTCCCCCAGCCCGCTGCCGTCGACATCTACTGGAAGCGCCTGAACTACACCACCGTCACTGCGGCCGATCTTCTGGAAACATACGACAAGGAGACCACGGAGGGCAAGGAGGCTGCCGGCTTTGAGCTTCTCGAGGGCGCGCTTCACCCCTTCGACGGCACCATTGCCCAGTACAACCTCTCCGTCCCAATTGCCTACACTCTCCACTACCTCAGCATCATCCCCTCGTGGGCCATGATGCTCTTTGTTTCCTTCTTCAGCCGGACGATGATGTGAGTAAACCGATCACGTTTCCTCTCGTCACTTTGTCAGATGCTAACGCGTATTCTCTTGTTTGTAGGAACCGTAGTATGGGAGGCGCGCAGAATCGTCCTGCCAACCCTGCTCGTGGTGCTGCTCCCGGTGATGGCCGTTCTTAGTTGAACAGTGCCAACGTCTTAAAAGTGGTATGGGCTCTGCGTATCGTGATTATCTTTCTGGAGGATATGGAGAATATGGCTATCCATGGCGTGGTTCGCCAGCCCGATTGAATCGGTTGGTTTTTGGAAAGAGCAGCCCTCGATCTGCTTTGGTATGGAAAACTGAATGAAGTCCTGGAATGGATTTGATATTCCATGGGTGTTTAATCCGCCGCAGTGGGACTTTGAGGCGCTGGGGCGGGAATTTGGGGTATTTGGAATACATTGAATACAACACGACGTCCAATACGCTTATGATGAAGGATTTGGTCTTGAGTAGAGGCTGGGAGGAGGACAGTTACTATTAGTTGGCACGTTTGAATGTGTCAACCATCACGGGAAAAAAGGAGGGCACAGGAATAAGCGGACTTTTGGGAGACCAGGCCGTTATCATGATGGCTCGGTTCGGTTTTCCATAGCGCTTTTTGAGCCTTAAGCGACTCCATATTACGAATATGATTATTTTTTGGATTTGCAGGTCTCGCGCAAGCTCTCCAGCCCTTCGAGCACTTGATCACGGAGTTGGCCATTAGCAAAGCGGCCATAACGTAGATCGCTCATGCTGCCCACGGTTTGCTGAATGGACGCTAAAAGTGCTGCCTCTTCCTCTCCAAGAAGCTGAAGCTCACTCTCAAGCTCCGACACGGCGCCTTCAAGATCAGGAAGAATGGAACCAATGCTATGCTTGGGGGGTTGCGAATCAGAAGTCGAACCAAACAGCTACAACATGAAACAGGTGCCACGAGGGCCATTAGTTAGCTCTCTTGCCCAATGCAAGCCCACAATCATGAAGTGATTCTCAAATCTTACAATCTGTTCAATTTCAGCTTCGTCATCATTCTCTTGCGAGTCCTCCTCCCTTTTGGCCTTGATCATGACCTGGCGCATTGCCCTGCCGCGCTTGGCCTCCGCCTCGATCTCGGCTGCAACTGAGTCGACGACAGCATTTCTCTGGGTTTGTAGATCGCGATACAAGTTTCTGACCTGAGGCGAAGATTGAAGAGAGCGCGGGAAAAGGTCAATGAACTCTTGCAAGGAGATGATAGCAGGCAGCTGTGCGGGGACTAGCAAGTAGTCGCTGAGGATCTTTGTCTCGGTCGGTGCCATTGCGCCGTGGTTTTTCTGTGATAATGGTAAATGGATAGTGACAGATGTCCTGTGAATGTAGTCATGTAAATGTGTATTTTGTAATTTACCGTTACAACAACAAGTAAACAAATGTAAGAACAATGTTATGGAAGGCGCACAAGCAAAGGGGACGCGTTGGTGCGCGCTAAATGCACAAGACACGTGGTCCCGTGACCCACGATTGATCACTATCAATTGTTTCATTCACCCCTTCCCGGCAGCTTCAGTACACCTTCCCCGGGCCACTCACTGAACGAACCACTTCCGACTTGACGACAACTGCCACCTTGCCATTTTTCATCTCCCAGGACATCCAGCCTTACTAGCAACCGAACAGATTTGAGGTTTGCGCAACATCGTTTTGTCGTCATCTCGGTCGACTCACTTTTCGCCGGGTCCAGCACTTCACCCGCCATCCCAGGATCATCGACTCAAAAGTGCCATTCACACTCGATCCACCCCATCCAACAGCTTTCCACTAGACCATCTGCCGAAACCTTCATTTTGATATCCGGCAGCATTCATATCAAATTTTCCAGCATCACTCGGCCACCCAAATCTCAGCAAAAATGGCACCGTCCAAAACGCCCCAGCCGCCATATTCCAAGGATGAGCGTGTCCTGTGCTTCCACATGGAGATGCTGTATGAGGCCAAAATCCTGGACGTGCAACCAACGGAAAGCGGCGATGGCTGGAGCTACAAGATTCATTACAAGGGCTGGAAGAGCAGTTGGGACGACTGGGTGCCGCAGGACCGCATTCGCAAGTTCAACGACGAAAACAAAGATCTCGCCCAGCAGCTCCTCACCCAATACAAGCAGCTGCAGTCCGGTAAGGCGGCCAAGCAGACCAAGGGGAAAGGAGGCCGGGGACCTGGTGGCTCAGACCTCAGCTCTGCCCGCGGTAGTGAGGAGCGGACTGCGGCAGGAGGGACGACGACACAGAACAACCGTAACCCGCGAAGGGCTCGCGATTTTGACCTCGAAACTGTAAGTGGCTTCTTCCTCTTCTCTTCTCTTCTCTTGTCTCGTCTTTGCTTCATCCCTCATGTTTTCGTCTTCTTTTCTTCGCATACTTTGGCAATATCATCATCTCCTTTGCAACACCTTCTTTTTCTTGCAAATATTCGACATCTCCACCTCTCATGACCGCGAGTGGTCAAAAAGACTGGATGCAGGGGCAAGCAGGCCAACTATAAAGGGCGTCGTTCATGTGTTGTCGTTGGCGACCTTCTACAAGTGTGGAGTGTTGGTTGCTAGGCGACACAGAAAATCTCGGACATCCGGAGAAGGGGGAAAAGGGTCGGGAACAACTCGCAACAAAGAAAGCCACGACTTTGGGTTTTGAGCAAATATGAAAATCTTGAGTACAGGACGAAAAGAATGATGGGTAATAAAACAATTCAGTAGTCCTGGACAGCAAACATGGCGGTGGTTGTGAAAGGGGGGGGCTCCAAACCTGAGTTTTGGGAGGGACCCATAATCTGGAGCTGGGACCCTGAGCGAGCGGCCCTGCCTGGGCAGGAGCAGCGAGTAAATGCCACCCCTGGATCTCGCAACCTCTCAAAATCTACCACTCACCAACATCACTCCCTTTCCTCCGCTCGCCAACACACTTTGGGCACTTTTCATCACCAGCACGATTTCGGTTCTCAGCAGCTTGTCACATCCACCGTATTTGGGACACACGCAACTGCCTGCACAACTTTGTTACGCTTTCACAAGGAGAACCTGCAAATTTCTCATTCGTCCTTCACTCTCGCATCATCGTCAGCCGCCCTGCTGCTCGTCCTCGTGTCCATTCACCTTCCATCATCCTCTCACCTTTGTCCGGATCACGCGGCTTTCTTGGTCGGTCACGGAATCATCTGGAAATCTTCATTTCGCCTTCACTTGGGCTATTTGGATCGCGGCCAGGGAGAACAAGCGACGAGTTTCAGGGAAAACTTCACCACATCAACACACCATCAGATCTACCTCCACCATTTTTTTGTGGGTAGACAGCTCTACAATTGCCAAACCCATCACCGTCGTTGCATCTTTTATTGTTCGGCATCAGGGGGTTATATACTTCGAGATCGCCACAAGTCATCACCATGTCGCGCTCCATGCGTAGCCATGGCCAGGATGTGGACAACACCAAGACTCGCAGCTCCTCATCCTCAATAAGCTCGTTTGCAGCTTGCGAAGCGCGATGGTCAAAGTTAGCAGAGCCAGCAGATCGCCTCATACGACTGCCCAGCAAGCTCACATCGACCTACGTCGACCGCTATGGGCGGACTACGTTTGACGATACCTATGCGCTGGGTTGGACATCCACGCGGCCACCGCCCATCGGCGCCAACCATCCCAAAATTATCAGGGCAAGGAACAACGGAAACTGGTCGGAGAAACTCGAGGCATACTACAGCGAGCTACCACCCAACTATAACATCCCCTTGGCTGGTCAGGCTTGCAAGAAGCCCGACGAAGACTGGAGTTCACGCAGCCCGACACGGGTCGCGACGCCCCATGGAACAGATTTCGGACCGTTCACCGTCCTCCTTGATGCTCTCGCTAAGATCCGAAAGCCCCGGGAGCCGACTGCAGGGCAGAAGATGTGGGAATGCCAGTTTGCGCCAAAGGAGATGAGAAAGGAGAAAGTACGTTTGGTGGTTGTGATTTTTTTTCTTCACTTGCCGGACAACTGCGCGCGCACACACATCGGCTATGGCGACAGGCTTCTCGTCGGACTGTACAGGTTATCTTGCTATGATGGCTTCGCAAGTGCTCGTCATCGTGGTACGCCATATGGCTTTCAGTCATCATCTCAGCCCTAGTAGGCTGGGGTGGCGTCGGGGGTAGATGGTCTGACTAATTGGTCTGGACACACATCCTTCCAGACCATCACTTGTCTGCACAGACATCGTCGCCTTTGCCGCACCCTAGTGGGTGACACAGCCACGCCAACACACATTGCTGGTCGTCCGTTGGAAATGAGCGTCACGATGTCTAGGAGTGTTGTTTGCCAAGCATTTTGTCGCTGCTTTGATGATAACGCTCATGCTCAAAGAAGGATCATTGCTGACCATTCAATTCGATCTACAGGAGGACAACTTCCACAACCGACCATCCATCAAACTTCCCCTACCAGATCACGTCAAGGCGTTGCTCGTCGACGACTGGGAGAATGTCACCAAGAACCAGCAGCTGGTGCCAATCCCCCATGTCCACCCCGTCGACGAGATCCTGAAGGACTACCTCGAGCATGAGCGTCCTCACCGGCTACCAGAGACGCCACAGATGGATATCCTGGAGGAGACCGTTGCTGGGTTGCGCGAGTACTTTGATCGGTGCCTGGGAAGGATCCTTCTTTACCGGTAAGTGATAACTGCCCGCATATACATCCCTTGCTTTTGTCCCGCCCAGTTGGTTGGTCGATCGGTTAGTTGGTGAATGAATGAAACACTAACAAATGAGGCACAGCTTCGAACGCGCACAATATCACGAGCAGCACAACATCTGGACTGCCGGTACGGACGAGAAGCACAAGTCGGCCTCGGACACTTATGGCGCCGAGCATCTTGCTCGTTTGCTAGGTACGCAACTATCCATGCACCCTCATCCCCATAGCATTTCACTAACACACCACACTCCACAGTATCCCTCCCCGAACTGGTCGCCCAAACCAACATGGACCAACAATCCGTCAACCGGCTCCGCGAGGAGCTCATCAAGTTCACCAGCTGGTTCAGCCGCCACACCACCAAGTACTTCGTCAGCGAGTACGAGACGCCCAGCCAGGAGTATGTGGAACAGGCCAGAAGCGTTTAGGAATCTCCTTTTGCATTTGCAAGCCATATCCCGGGCGAGGTGTGGGAGGAGATGAAGGCAAAGGCGAACGCGAAAGCGGAGGGGGTGGCGGAGGCGGTTCGCGAGGCTGAGGAGGCCAAGAAGAATAAAGGGAAGAAGGCGATGGATAAAAAGAAGAAGGAAAGCGCGAAGGAGAGGAGTCGGTGAAGTTGAGTTGAGTTCATGCTATGCTATGCTATTGAGCTTCTGGGCCTCGAAAGTTTTAACGGATAGGGTTTATGCGGACGCTGATTTCGAGGAGTGGAGGTGTGTATGGTGTGGTTGTGGTCGAGACCTAGACGGGAGGATGACGAAAACCAGTGGTTATAACATACAACACTGGCAGCCAGTCTCGGCACGGATGGAGGAGTTGAGTGACTGGCTCCTCCTCTCTTTCTTTGCTTACTCTTTTTTTTTTTTTTTTTCGTCGTCTTCTTATGGGCGCGGATCGGCGGCGTTTTTATGTGTGTCTTGCTTTGTACAATCAGATAATCAGGAAACACGGGGGAAATTTGAGGAGGGGGCTTATTAGAAACGGAACTGGTATGGTAGATAACAGCATCTTATTTTGTTTTTCGTGCGTGGTGATTCATGTGTGGAATGGCAATGGTGACCAAGTGATGAAAATGACCGTGGGGGTTTTTGGGCTGGAATTCGTGCGGTGTTGAACGTTGGAGAAGGCTACCTAATGAGGCGGCGGCGATAGTCCCTGGTATGGTTGATTGGTGGGGCGCGTAGCTGGTAGGGTAGTGTAGCTAGACTAGGTTGTAAGGGAGCACACGAATATCTAATGGCCAATACGATTAAGTTCACCAGTCTCTGTTCTTCCCCCTTGCTCGTGTCTGTTCCTCTCTGGGTAGGATATCCAACCCGATATCTAAAATCACGATGGTTCAAGCTTAGGATGTTCCAAAGCACTTTTCCATTCCCGATCATGTCCTACTACATGGTTTTCGTAGCATACAATATTTGTACAAAATGGTGGTTGAGAAAGATGGGAGTATCCGAGCAAGACGAGTAGATGCCTCCAAACAGCGGTGTGATCCGAGGAGGCAGGCCGAGTACACGAGCTCAGTCTCCCCAAGAGATTACTTCCCAATGCCGATATAAAGCTGGCTCTGGAGGTAGGGCCAGAACCGTCTCAGCCAGCTATTCGAAAAACCGCTAGCTGGGTACCACTTAGGGACCCTCCCTGCCTTTCTCGACCTCCTCCACAGCCTCCCCCAACTTTCTCTTGCCCTCGTCCATCTTCCTCCCCTACTCGTATAGGTTCAGCTTAAAGAGCCTTAACCTTAGGTACCGCGTGCCTCGTCTTGCCAATAAGCTCCCAATCAGCCCTCGTCCTGACACCCAAATCCTTCGCCCTCTTGCCATCCCTCGCAACAACACCACCGCCCTCAACAACCATCTTCTCCACGCCCTCGACGTTCTCGACCTTCTGCGCCTTCAGGGTCTCAACAACCTGGGTGAAATCAACCTCCTCCACCACGCCCCTGCCGGGAACGAACCGCCTCACCTGCTTCTCCACCACGAACCCGGTGTCGAACTTGCGCTCGTCCTTCAGCTCGCGCTTGGTCAGGCGTACGGGCACTTCTTCCACCTTGACCAGCTCCTTGACTTTCATCAGCATGCCGGCGAATTGAGGCTCCACCGGGTGGAAGACGGTTTGGTTGCGGCGGCGGAGACCGAGGGCGGCCAGGACGCCGTTGGTGCGCTTGGGCAGGCCGATGGCGCTGCGGTGGAGGGTTATGCGGAAGAATGACATTTTGGGCGGTTGTTTTGAGTTGGTTATGGATGGGTCTTGCAACGGGTATCGTGGAATGAAAAGGTGGGAGGAGGATAAGTTGTTTGAAATGCGCCGATTGGAGGTTTGGGACTCGCTCGTTCGTGGGATGTCGGCGTCGTTGGAGGTATGTGTGGGTGGTGGATGGGGAGTGGAAATGGAAAGCGTCGCGTGCCTGTGGGGAGGTGTGCCAGAGTTAGTCGAAGGTTCTTGGATCGTCGTGTCGGGTGGGTGGATGGGTGGTATGTTTGCGCCGGCGCAACAACTACTGGATCTCGAATTCGTTGCGCTCTGCTCTGCTCCGAAAGGAAATCGCCGTGATCTTGGGAATTGGGAAGGATTTGTTCGTAAGAACTCTAGGTACAATCAAGTACGCACCTCTCGCAAATACCGCTAGCTGTCTACTTCGCCGTCGGTCGGTCGGTCGGGGGTATCAAAGGAAAATGGAGAACCTCGAAGGTCAGGTCCGAGTCGTCTATGGTAGCCTCGTCTCCAGTGTTGACGGCCCGCCGGGGGGGGGGGGGGGGGGATCAGATCACAGTGCCGTGCGCCGCGCCGGGGACGGTAGCTACGGGGTTTGTCAGTGCGCGCACCATTGGCCCGGTCGAGTTCCCTGGTGGGGCACGGTCCAGGACGGGAACTCTGGCAAGGCAAAATAATTCTGCCGGATTTTACCGCTTAAATGTTCGGGTGAGTGAAGGTATCTATCGGTTGAAGAGCGAAGTTCATCATGACCGGTAACATCATCAAGCACAGCATGTGAACTCGCTTGGGGTCGTCGGGATTGGATGCGCGTGTTTCCTCACAAATCTTCCTTCGTTTCTAGATTCCAAGTTCTTCGTGGCCGTTCAAGCAACTCCAGTCGGTTCTTGTCACCATTCATCAGATATCCGTATCCGCAAGCACCAACTGCTCTTGACAGATCGAGGAAAAGCAAAAGAAGCATGCATCATCGCCATTCCGAAACGCATCAAACACCGTTTCTTCCACCCTAGTTATCATCATACAACAAACCGTGGTGCAAATTGGTCCCTTACAACTTCACAGCTGGACTCGAAATCTTTCGAGAGCTCGGAAACCGGACCCACCCCGAATCAGCCCCGCAAATCCCCGACTGTGCGGAGTTACCCCGCCGGAGCGCCGAAAGCCAAGCACCGTCCATCTCGCCGAACTTATGGGAGGGAAAGCTCTCCTAGTCCCCTCGGACCTGTAGTGGGTCATGCCCGATCCGGACCCGGCGCCGGAACCCCACATAATCCGACCGAATGAGAGACCTCAGCTTCGAGAATCGAGATCAACCTTCAGAATCGTCCGCGGAATTGAAGAGTTCTCGGTTTCTGCCCCAACGCTGTTCTTCCTCAGAAAAGCAGTTAGTCCGTAATATTCCCTTGTCTCTGCTCCGCTCGTAAATCCTATCGGAAGCCGTTCCATCCACCTCCAAGGTTCGGATGACTTTGACACTTGACACTTGACACCTGATAGACAATCGCAGCATCGCATAACAGCTTTAGTACCTGCATTGACATTGGCAAATGGCGGGTGGACTGGGAGTCTGGGACTGCGGCGCAGGAGTGAGGAAGAGCATGAGCACGAATGATCGTTCGAGTCATCCCGATCCCGAGCTGCATTTGAGGATACTATAATGGCCTGACTTTATGCACCAAGTAGGTAGGTAGAACGATGTCCCAGCCAAGGTAAATATGACATCTCATCGTCGTTTTCTGAAGGTATGAGTTAAGATCGCTGAACTGAGATTAACTCATCTCCACTGTGTTCCCTTGTCTCTCTGGTCACTGTTATCTTCCGCTCAGGAAGCCAGATCATGAATTGATCTTGGAGATATCATAGTGTTGGAGAGTCGTACGACTGTCAAGCTTGCTCAAAAACGTCGAACGCAAGTTGAATTAAACAGCATCACATATGTTCGTGGCTTCACTTTCACTTTCACATGACGCAACCATATCTTGCTTTTGGCCTGTTCTGCTCACCTTATCCTCTCCAGCCAGCTCAGCGAGTTTATTCAAGGCTTACTTACAGCTTATCAACTCCGAACCAACCGGTGGGGGTTCCTTGCTAGGCCTGCTAGCCTGCTGGCCTGTAGCATGAGGCTGTACGTCGTCACCTTGACTGATAGGGTAAGGTGAGGTGAGACGGCTTTAGTGTGTAGTGTAAAGGGATGCGCAAGTGGTAAGCATTTTGATGCACATACATACAAAGTAAGCGGGCATGGCTGGCCAGGTTACGGTACGGTACGGACGGATCCATCTATCCCCTTCCCTTTCGGATCTTACCTTATCTCAGTCGATTACCGAGACGCCATGCCGCGCTGAGGTGCTGACGGGACCCCCCAGACCACAAAGTCCCAGCAGCCCAGGTCCAGGTCGGGTGTCCGAAGCTAAGGGACCTTGGGGGTCCAACCTCCTTGCATACATACGTAGTGTACACAGCGCGCTTCAGGCCGCTGATGACCTGGTAGATCCGTTTAGAGGGAGGGGGAGGAGCGAGTGAGATGACTTGCATTGGTAGCCGTAGTACCAGTACTTACGGACATAGAGGGCCCCCCTTGTTAATTTATTCCCCTGCCTGTCTTGTACCAGTACCTACCTGACCAAGTCGGAGATCCTACGACGGCTGTCTACTTACGATTTGGACAACAGCAGCGTTTCCCCCCGACCCATGTTCTATTCTCGGCGGTCATAAGCCTTGCATATATAACTCTTGTGCACCGTCAAAGTCCGGAAAGCGAAACCCTCCGGTTTGTCGCTGACGGAATCCATAGAACATTGTCGGTAGAAGGTCTCAAATCTCAGCCGGGTTTGGTCCTTCCCATCGGGTTTCGTGGCTCGCTGTTCCGTATTGCTGGTATGTCTCTCGGTCAGCTTGGCGGTTAGCGGTCTTTTGGCGACGGCAAGGGAACCGTCTGACTTGCTTTATTCCAATACGTGAGAGATTTGGCGATAAAAAAGCAATTCCCGGATGTTGACAATCACAGTAACGGAAACATAGCACCAATCGTGGTAGTTGATGCTGTCTTGATTGCATTATGGGGAAGTTCCCCAGTATATGATAATGACGTATTCTGTCATACACCCTTCCCTTCATTGATGACCCTCTACCACCTGCCGAAGAAAGAAAATGAAAACATTCATGATTGTAACCGCTCCGTAAAGTAAAAGATCCCATGTCTAACCATCCCTAATCCCTATATAATTCCCTTTTAAATTTGGACCTCAACACGACCCTCAGTACCCGGAGGGCCGGGCTGCTGGAGGCTGGGGAGGAGGTAAGTGATATCATCCCAAGGATGACGGTAGAGACCAGTGCGGAGTCTCTTCTGATCGAGGTAATGGGCAATAAGACCAATGGAACGACCAAGAACGAAGAGACCGTTGAGGACACCCATGGAGAGGTAGTCCTCAGCCTCCTCAGTGCTGAAGGCACCGCAGTTCCTTAGGAGATCAACGAAGCAGACAGCAATGCAGCCGTCGACGTTGAGAATAAGGTTGTCCTTCTTGGAGGTGGTGACAGTCTCGACGGCGAGAGCGTAATCGAGAAGCTTGCTGGAGGGGAACTTGGCCTTGACGTACTCCTTAACAAGCTCGACACGGAGATCGGGGTTGTTGCGAGACTTGACACGGTGACCGATACCGGGGATGAGCTTGTTCTGCTTGCGCATGGTGTCGACAAACTCACGGGGGCTTAGGCCCTTGTCGAAAGCTTTGGTAAACTCCTCAGCAGCACCATCAAGGGCACCACCGAAACGGGAGCCAATGGTCAAGAGACCAGCGACCAAGGAGCTGATGAGATCCTTGCCAGCACGGGTGGTGATAATGGTGTTCATGGCACCAGACACGGCGGGACCGTGATCGGCGGTAAGCATGAGAACCATCTCAAGGAACTTGGCGGCATAATCCGGAAGACGGCGGCGGAACCAAAGAAGGGACATGACACCGCCAATACCAATCTCCTCCCTGAAAACGTCCGAGATGGGCATGCCAGCGTAGAGGAGCTCCTGGCCACGATCATCGGAAATGGTAGAAATGAAGGCAGCAGGCTTGCGAATAAGGCCAAGCTCCTGAGCCCAAGAGTAGTCGATGGGGATCTTGGGGACAACAGGCTCGGGGGCGGGGACAATGGTGCCATCAGCCACGAGCTTGTCATAGACCTGCTTGAGAAGAGCAGGCATGTCCTCGAAAGTGTCGGGAACATAGAAACCAGCCTCACGCATGCTCTTGTTCTTGGTGGCCGCAGTCTCGAGCTGAGAGTTGGCGAAGGCACCGGCGTGACCGAACTGGACCTCAGTCTTGAACATGCTGGCGCAAGTACCAATGGCCCAAGCAACGATGGGCTTGGTGATGATGCCCTGCTTGACAGCCTCGATCACCTTGTACTCCTCAACACCACCGACTTCACCAAGCAAGACGAGGATCTTGCAGGCAGGATCGGCCTGGTAACGCAGGAGATGGTCGATGAAGGTGGTGCCGGGGTAACGGTCACCACCAATGGCAACACCCTCATAAACACCATCCGTGGTCTGGGAGATAATGTTGTTGAGCTCGTTGGACATGCCACCAGACTTGGAGACATAGCCGACAGAGCCCTTGCGGTAGAGCTTGGAAGCAACAATGTTGTCCATCATACCACCAGTGTTACCGATCTTGAAGCAGCCGGGCTTGATACCACCGACGGTGGCAGGGCCGATGATGGTGATGCCCTTCTTCTTGGCAACGTAGGCAATCTCGCGAGCGCGCTGATTCAGAACGTGTTAGCTGTCTGAACGAGGGCAATGGTGGCTGGTATACTAGTGGAGACTTACGCGCTCAGGGACACCCTCAGCAATAATAGCAATGGTCTTGATCTGAGGGTGCTCCATCAACTCCATGGTGGAGCTGTAGACACTGCGGGAAGAGGCAAAGTTGACAACGACGTCAACATCGGGATGCTTGGCAATGGCCTTTTGAACCTCCTGATAGACGGGCAGG